GTGAGCTGAATTGTTGCAAACAATTTAATAGAAGCGAGCAAAGACTGCACTAGCATATTTATCTAACAAATCCTTCAAAATGTCTCAAAAATTTGAAATCTTTCATTTCAAAATTATTTTGAAGGTTGTAAACAAAAAACTAGAAAAATGCGGCAAATTTCAAATATTTTTTGACAGTCTTTTAAAGTCTTTCTTAAAATAAAATTTTATTGAGTTTAGTTAAAATTAAAACAAATCCTAATTTGGAAAAAAAATTTTGAATCCACAATGAAATCATTAAAAGTCAAAAAGTTCTCATGAAGCAAAAAAATTACTTTCATCTTAATTAAAAAATCTCTTCCAACATTAAATTGAAAACCTTTTAAAGACAAAATAAATTGGCTGAAAATTAATTTTAAAATTTTAAATTGTAATGAAAGTCAACTCGAGTTGCATCCACAATAACCGAGTCGCAAAGGAAGAGGGAAAAAAAGAGGCATAAAATATATGCAGTTCACATTCGTTACATTAACAACTTTGATGAATTCTTTTGAAAGCTTAATTAGATTTGCTCGTTCGAGAATCTCAAGAATGTCTTTCGACTTTTTTCTCTCCTTTCTTGCTTTCCATAGAATTGGCACCTTACAGTTGCCTCATGTCATGTCGATAATTTATGTAAAAATTTATTAATTAGTCACTTTTAATTTTTTTTATGCTTCATATAGAAAACCTTCTTTAGACGATGTCAACCAGGCATCGGTTGTGAATACACGGTAAGTTTCAATTTGTTCTTACTACTTACAATTTGTTGTTTGTTAAGAATTTAAAATTTATGGATAAACGATGGAATTTTTATGTATTACAAATGGATATCAACATTGTTGTATCTACAAATTGCTGGATGCTGCCACAGATAACTTGTTTATTATGAAAGTATTATGAAGGAATTCTGAATTATTCGCATGATATTAGGGAGCATTTACTAATGCTGTCTACTATTAAGAGAGATTTTGAACTATTGAGGACTTAGGAAGACTGTTTATTAGAATTGAGGACAAGGTTTAATTTTAATTGAACCGTCCGTAGACTTATCATACGTCTAAATTAATGCAAACTTTTTTCTGGAATTTTTACATTGCTTTGGGTTTCAAATAATGTTGCATAGCTCGGGAGTAGTCAACCTTTTGTGAGTCATGGTTATCTTAACACAAAAACGAAGAAGCTGAAGTGTCACTAGCATAGTTTATTGTAAATTCAACGTCATAATAACCTTATCTTTGATTTCTTAGGCTTTTGTGTGCACTTAACCTTACAAAACTAAGTTTGATCATCAAAATTGCCCTTAGTTTACTTAATAGACTTCTCAAAATTGTGGTACAGGATATAAATTACCAAACACTAATATAAGTAAGAGACTCAAACCAAAACGGCAATAACTCATAACTACAATAATAAATAAAGTCAATAAAATATCTAAAGCAATTAAAATGAAATTTATTCATGTAAATTGATAATGAGATAAAAAGTTTTTGCAGCTTAAATCCCATAATTAACCTCCACAGATTCTCATTTGTGTTCTACGGGTGTATTATGTATACCACAAAAATTTACATTTGTGATTTAGCAGAGTAACAAGATAATCATTTTATTTCCATATATTGCCCCTTTCCATTCCGTATTTTCTTAATTCCTTTCCCTCTTGTTTAAAATAATATTTATTTAAAATATTAAAGGCAGAGATACAGAAACAAGAAAGGGATGAGGAAGAATGAAATTCACAAAATAAGATTTTTTTTTGAGGCTAGAAAATTTCGCGAATTTTATGCAAATTTCATCTTGTTATTCTCATTCAATTCTCATAGATTTTAATCTAATTTTGCTGCTTCATTTTCGTTGTTTGTCATAACAAGAAATGGATGTTTCGTCAATGACGTGCAACTTATGTAGTTTTAAAAGGGGTAGGGACGTGAAATCAGAATATATGGCTGCTTTAGAAAACTCTATCAAACCAGGGCAACTAGAATAATAAAAGGGTCGAATTTAATAAAAAGATTGTCAGCGATTGTGACGCTATTGACAGGTTGTGCAGCAGTGGGTTCTATGTCTCAGAGGCCTGATTCAAAAGCTAATTAAGGTACACTACCCCTAGTCATAGTCAAACCCCAAACTGCAGTACATAGACTTTCAATTCTAAAGTTGTGTGCCCTGTATTGACCTAAAACTAGTCTCAGAATTTAACATTCATAAAGAACTAAAGAGTCGATGTTCGAAGCATCAAACCACTTTTTTGACTAAGACCAGCAATAAACAACCCTCGTGACATTAAAAGCGCACAGAAGAACACAAAAAAAAACTTAATCGAATAACACTCAAAAGGATTATTCCTGTCACAATATTTATTTGCCATAAAAATTGATGAGCAAGAACATGAAAAATGTAACGCACAGTCGAGCTAATGTCATTTCAAATAACCGTGAATGAAAACTTGAATGGGAAAAAAATGTTTAAAATGCAATAAAAATTTTATTTTTGAAGATGCTACAAATGTTACATCAGGGAGCCATTTACCCTTTTTTCCCTACTCGCGCGGATGTTTTTAGTGCAGATTTTTATTTCTTTTTAAATGCAAATTATTTCAATAAATCTATTCTGTTCACTTCTCCTTGCAAGGAATTGCTTTTTTGATCTCAAAGAAAGGTGGAAGTGAATAAAAATAAAAGAAAAAAATTTCGATTCTGCATAAAACTCATTAAAAATCGTGATGCTCTTCCGAATGTTACTGTTTATTATAAGATGAAATTCAAGACACGTAATCTGTAATTGATTTGGCACTCGTGCTATCAAATACAGGTTGCTACCTACTTTTGAAGAATAAAAAAAAAGTATCCAGATTGAATGGGAAAAAAATAAGAGAAGAGAAGAAACGAGAGAGATACAATTTATAGCGCCTAAAATGCCTTTTATTTTGCCTTATATGTGTGACTCATATTATGAGATGCTTCACGTCTCTTGTTATGGTGATATTGTTGATCAAGATAAGAGTCACACATGAAGCACTGCTTTAAATTATGATCAACAAAAAAAAGAAAGAAAAGTTTTCGGAACATAAATTAAATCTGATCTTATATATGAGTGACATTTTTATTTAGAAACTGTTGGAACCTGAAAATTTCACCGAAGAATATAATTAGCTTGTTCAGTAAAGATTATAGATTTCCGGTAGTTTATGGATCACATTTAACAGATTAATCAGAAGAGATTGGTTAACAAGTTTATTGTCACCTTTTTGGCTTTTAATCTAGTTTGTTGGATTCTCTGCTGTTTTGCTTTGAATCATTTTACGTTCGTGTAAATTATTTAAATTAGCTTATTATCAATTTTAAATTCACATTAGCGATGATTTTCGTTTGAAATATGTTAAATTGGTGAATCATTTTGATATTTTTGGATCGGGTGTGAATTTCGAGAGTTAACGTCTCTGAAGCTAGTAATAAAGTGCTATTCATGCTTTAAATATTCACATTTTGTTTGCTGATGTGCAGAATTTCGGATTATAAAGTTCCAATTGATCCAATCTTTTGGATCAACTAGTCGAGGAGTTTTGAAAAGAAGATGATACTTATAATAGTCACCAAACTTTTAAAAAATTAGTTTTTACCTAGCTTTATATCTAGAAGCTTCGAATTAAGTCTAGCTTTATGCGTACGTTTAAATTTTGCTTTCATGCTCATAGTCATGATTTTGAGATGATATCTCATAGACAAAAAATTCTTCTCAGCTTCAATCAAAAAAACTCATACCCAGCACAAAAAGTATGCAAGCTCAATAATTACCGAAACAAAATGATGAATATAAAAAGTTTACACGCATAACATCCTACACACTGTAATAATTTTAGGGTTGAAAGTATTTCTTGTTATCTCCATCCTCATAACCCTAGCAGTTACTTTTTATTGCCATACAGGCATAACATCATGAGATTTCATTAACCCAAATCACATGTGAATGTATCGTTATGCCTAATTGTTCTTGGGTAATCTTGACGACAATGAAAAAATTTGCATGAAAATTTAAAACAATTGAAATCTTCCGAGGATCATAAAAGCAGCAACTGACAAGGTTTATGGCACAGAACGAAGCTGATTTGGATTTTCAATCTCTTTATTGTGCATAATTATTATGAGCATGACATGGGGATTCCTCACATGAAAAGTAGGTAGCGACATTGAAAGTGATGATAATGATGATGCAATAATTGGAACTGACGTGATGCCTCTCCTCTATGCCATCCTCATTCTTATCAGACGCCGCCGTTTTTTTTTTTCATTCATATTTTTTTTTTGATAGTAAAAGTAAGAAAAGGAGGAAGAGAGATGAAATTATTGGGCACGTAGACTACATGATGATAACTTTTTTCCTCGTCGTCCTCGTCCTGGCGAACTCTTGGATCCTTACTTAAAATTCGTCCAGCATCACCAATCCGTCCTTGCGACGTGTTTACATCGACAAATCGATTGATAAAAAAATATCAGTCACTATATGCAGCACATTCCTTGTAGCTGTATGAAACATTTACACGCAGCAAGCATTAAATGTATGTAATGGACATGAAAACTTTCCTTTCCTTTTGTTTTCTTCCTCTTTACTCCTGGCTTGTTTTTGACCTGCTTCATAATATTGATTCATCATTCGAATGAAGTGAGTAGAAACAATATTTATGGATATGCATGCTCGACAGCAATAACAGAGCAAGAAGAGATTTCAATTGTCATAATGTGAACGTGTCGTGTCGCAGAAGAGATGTTTGTAGCATGTCGCAAAGGCACAAGAAAAAAAGTTGGAAGGAAGACGGGCGGAGCTTAATTGTAAAACCAATCACGTTCACATACAAAAAAACGTACGAAGAGCATCAACAAAAACATTCATGACTGTATTTATATGTGTGTGCATGCATAGATGTGAGAAGAGAAAGAAAATAAGTTGAAGCGCCAAAAAAAAAACAGCCGTAACACTGATAAGAAGTCACGTACCGCCCATTTAGTCCCCAAAACCAACTCATACAAATGCAAAAGAACTTATACAAGTATAGACGTAACTTTTTTTTTCATGATGGAATCCTTCATTCCTTTACTTAACTTTTCCTTACTCAGCTTTCCACTCATACACACACACACAATAATAATCACACAGACAACGCGTGTATACAGCTCTTTGGCTCGTTCGTGATACTGATTTCAAATGCAAGTTACGTTCCCACTTTTTTTTACAAACGGCAAATGGCTCTAACAATTGACTAGCCAGTCAGATTTTTGTTGAGTATAAAGGTGCACGTACTTCAAATCATCGCTCTCGTATTATTTTTATTATATTTTTTTATATACGTCTATATATATACATTCGGTAGTGAAAAGTTTTTCTTCAATAGACAACATATAAATGTATAAACATTAAACAGCTGTTTAGTATTGATAACAATAAACAAATGCATAATATGAGTGATTAGTGAAAGTTTCTATCTAAAATGATGAAAATTTGTTAAGTGAAAAAATAAGGATTTTTGGATTTTGTGAACAAAAATGTTGCCTTATTCTGCAATTGACTATGCGGCATATCAGACCCGCACTTTAATGCACGCAACGGATAATGGAGGATCAGGTGGTGCAGCATTCACACATTCTTGGTTGGTACCAAGTACTCAGGATTTGTGTGGTACAAATTTTAAGCCTAATCATCCACAATCACAACAAATTCTCGATCCTGGGCATGTTGAGTTTTTTTTAAGTTTTATTATTTTTAAGAACTTTTTTGAATTTTTGTGAAATTTTAAAATTTTTAAAGATTAAAAATCTAGTTTTTAAATGTTTCTTACTCTTCTTGATCCAAAATTGGATAAAGTGAAAAATATTTTTTTGTTTTGAATCCTTTGAGGATCACTTCAATTTTTATTTGATTTAATAAACTCTAGATTTAAATAATCAAAGTAAATTATGAACCGGTAAACTAAGCAAATGACAATTTCAATATTCTCACGATGCGATCGATTCCCACGAGATAATTATTGAAGTAGAACATGACTTTCAACTATGTTGTTATATAAGAAATCGTTCATATTTTCTGCACGATTAGTTAATGTTTAATACTTTGTAAGTCTTCAGGTGTGGATTAAGTTTATTTGGAGTTGAGCAAGATTTAATGAGACAGTGGATGTCTCTGATTATTTTGAAAATGCTGCAGAAATATTATTTCTATGAAAACTGTCGTAGAGATAATTTTTTTGGAGTGCTGTTTTTGGAACCGAATGTTTTTAAGGTTTATTTTCTTAAAGAAAATTTAAATTGCGTTTAATAAATTCTTAAAGGGTGAGAGAAGTTCAAATGGATAATTTCGTCCATATTAATTTCGTGATATTTTACCAGTTTTCTAAGAGAAACCGAGATGACATTAGAAGTTTTGGAGACCTCATAGTTTCTGAGATCTGGCTCAGATGCCCAAACTCGTCTAATATCTATTACACTGCTTATGCGACTTTTTGAAAAATCTTCCAAGTTTATTAAAAAATATGATTGATAAGTTTATCGAAAGCAGAGCTTCCAAGTGGTTCGGATCCCACTATAAACTGTAGGTCTAAAGGGTGTGGTACAATAGATTCTGTTCTAATTTGAATCGCAGTGCCTCCAGCTGAAAGGCTGGGCCCTTCCCAAATTATTATTTATTATTATCGAAAGTTCCTTCAAAAATAGTAAAAATCCAATTTTATTTCCAATTGAAAATAAAATTCATCAGTTTGTCATTAATTTCTAGCCATATGATGAGTTTTTATTATTTTCAAATCCAAAAAAAAATCCAGCAATAAAAAAAATGACATGAAAATTTAATTCCAACTTGAATTATCATAAATAAATATATTTGCACATCTGATATTCGTTCATCAAATGCCCTTTCCGTTATTTTATTTCTGATCAATACTTCAAAATCGTATGTGGCAATAAGTAAATGTGAAGTGAGAGTCTACTTATCATAAATAATTTTTCCTTTACTTATTCCTCGTCCAAATATTTATTCGAATGATAATGTTTTTATTGCACATGGATTCATCTCGATAGTCAGATGTAATGTGCTGTATATATGAAGCAGGCAAGGCAAGTTTTAGGTCAAATTGACCAAATTGGCTGACTATAATACTTGAATATATTTAACAAAATACAAGTAAGAGAAGAAAGAAGTGCTGATGATAATCTCTTGGGATGAAATAAAATATTTTTACGTATTTTTTCGATAGCATAAAGGAAGACGACCAACTGAGCATTTTTAGGGAATTTTTTCACTCAATTTTCTTCCTTTTTATCTTTTTCCTTTCTGCCGAGAAAATTCAATTATCGAAAATAATTTTTATTCCATCTCTTCCTCATCTTTTGAGTTATTTTCACACTTTCAGACCTTCCATGTCTCTTATTGCCTTTTACTATTGTACAATAATAATAAATAAATGAATAGAAACTCGAGGCAGCAGTGAGAGAAGTTTGTGAGACTGGTCATCAATATTTTTGTTCCATTCCCATGACAAATGCATCAGCATTAAGTCTTTTTTATTGCAATCAATATTGGAACTAAGGGAACAGTGGTGGAGTCTTCCTCTATCCTTGTTATGTCATTTCCATCCAGCAGTTATGTTCTAAGTCACGGTTCGTTAAAGGAAACAAGTCTGCAGATTTTAGACCTGCCACTGAATTGCACAATAGTAATCACAAGAAAATGCGCTAAAAAATCTGATGATAAATAAGCAAGGGAAGGAACCAGAATTGAAATGTGTAATTTGACTTAATCAAATCACATAGAAATATTTTTGGTCAATCAACTGACACGATCAATACCTCAATTGTATATTGAATGCTATTGATGTTGAGATGATGATGATGATTATGCTGGAAACGGAAGTTAATCAAGTGAATATTATTCTTTCTCATCTCATTACATTTTTGTATATCCTTCTGTTTTTGTTGCTCTGCTTTCCCCTAACATTTGATTGATCACAAAGAATGTCACTGACGTAATTCCAGTGATATGACTAATATGAATTGTTTGATTTTTGATTCATCGAATATATCAGAAATTCCAGTTTCTTAAATAATTTTTAAATCAGAACAATTAAATTTCATGCAAATTAACTTTTCCACTTGACTAATAGTTTCAATTTAATTTTTTCATTTTCAGTATTTTAGAATTGAGGAAAGAGAAGTCAAGGGATGCAGCTAGATCGAGACGAGGAAAAGAAAATTATGAATTTTATGAATTGGCAAAGATGCTTCCACTCCCAGCCGCCATAACAAGTCAACTCGATAAGGCATCAATAATTAGACTCACAATAAGTTATTTGAAATTAAGGGACTTCACAGGACATGGAGATCCGCCATGGAACCGAGAAGGGAGCAATACTAGTAAAATTTTGAAAAGTGAGTTTTGGGGAATTTTTGGGTTATTGAGAACATTTTTGATCATTTTTGATTGTTTTCATTAGTTCTGCACCCTTGAGTATTGAATAATTGTTTTAAAATAGTTATTACTAAGTGTATATCTATGCGTGACTAAGTTGACTATGAACTAGACTTTTGCGAATTTATTTGGACGGAAATAACCAAATTTATGGTATAAACAAATTAATTAGACACCAAACACTTTGAGTCAAGTCGACAAATACCTGTCAAATGTCAAAATAGTCTTAAAGAGGTCTAATATCAATAAAGTAGGCACATATAATGATGACGCAAGTGTAGGGTGGTCAAAACCTAATTGCAAGTTATCTTTTATCATTAATAAGTTGCAAAAAATCTTTAATATGATGTCCAATACCAAAACTGTTACTATGTTCCTAGGAATTGACATCAAGCTATTGCCCAATGACAATTATATTCAAAAATTAAAATAAATTAAAAATCTTCTCCGAATTTCAGTTCGAAAACTTTCTTACGAAATCAAATTGGAATGTCATTTGCTATTTCCATCGATCAATATTTTTGTGTGTCAACTAGTTCATGTGTGTGTCTATAGCAGAGTTAATTTTGAAACGACAATTCATTTTAATATCACCAGCATTTAATTTGAATAGTTTGAAAAGTATTTTTTGGCTTTAAAAATATCGTAACGCAAACAGAATACTAATTTTAAGTATAATTCAACTCAAAAAAATGGTTTATTGACGGTGGCAATGGAAATTGTTTTACAAAGAATGGAAATATTACCATGAAAAAAAATAATTCAAAACTTTTTTTTCTATTTCGCCATTTTGTATTCATTTCATTTCTTTAAATGGAATTTTTGTTTTCTATTTTTGTTTTCTTCGTTATTTTTCTAATTTCACAAAAAATTTTTGTTCTTCTTTCTATCCACAATTTTAGGTTTATCTGCCAATTCAGCACGAAGATCAGCGGCAAGTTTGGCATTGGAACTTTTCGAGCAACATCAAGGAACTCACATTTTACAATCACTTGATGGTTTTGCACTGGCGTTGGCTGCTGATGGAAGATTTTTGTATATATCTGAAACTGTCTCGATTTACCTAGGATTGTCGCAGGTGCGGATAATGAATTTTTATGGTTTTTTGAATTTTATTTCATTTTAATGACTTTGGGATTAAATGCTTTTTTAATTGAATTTGGGACATAAATGTACAGCTATTGTGGAATGATATCCTAGAAGGGGACAGTGGTGTTCAGAAGTGCTTCTAGGTTTAAAGTTAAAACTTTTTTTGAAATTTTGCAATAAAATGCAATCAAATGAAAAAAAAATCTCCCAAATCACATTTTTAAAACATTTTAAAATCCCTCGAACGTTTATTTTTTTTATTCCTGTTAGTGTGAGCTGCCACGCAGACTATTGTATGAGAAACAGTTCTACATTCAGTCTAAACTAGTCAAAGATAAATAAATAATTCTTGAGCACTTTAAGTTCATTTTAATTTCTATAAAGTTTCCAAAGAAGTGACTTCTGCTTCTTCAGCTAAAATGCAGAGCTTCCACAAACATCTTGATACTTTCCAGCAGATTTTTTACAAGAAGGCACCCCAAAACTAAATTCTTAAGCTGTCCAATTGCTCCAAAAATTCTTCAAACAACTTTAAATCTTTCACAAAAACTTTCAAACAAATTTACGACCACTGGATTTAAAGAATCCTAGATTTACAGAAGCATTGAAACTTTATATCCTCTCTACTAGCATCCATTTAGATGATATACACACCTTAAAGCACCTGCAGAGACATTTCTCTCCCAGATAATAATTCCTTCAACTATTTTATGTTTTCCTTCCACTTCTTCTATGTTAGTTATTTTCAATTACATTCTCATCACGTCCACACATCTTTCTATCTCTCAGCCAAAAAGGAAGGGAATGAGTTTGGTATTAAAGACGTTGAATAAAATCAATATCTTGATTTCACAGTTCATGGAAGGAAATTTTTTTTCTTGAAAAGCTCACAATTTCCTTCACAAATCATTGAATTCAATCAAGAAGAAACAAAAAAAAAGAGAAACTTTCGTTGACAAATAAATTAAGTGATTATTATTCATGCCCTCAACTACTTGACTTCCTTTTCGGTTTATTTTTATTTCACTTCTATCTTTTTTTTGTGTCTTTTTTTTTATTCTCGAATTATTTATCATATATGATTATTTTAAAATTTTATGCTAATTTTATTATCGCATGTACAATATGCTTTGTAGAGAATTAAAATAAAAATGCCGAGACTTGACATTCCCCGTAATTTATTACCATTTTATCTCTTTATATTTGTCATTTTAGGTTGAAATGGCTGGCAGCAGTATATTTGATTATGTCCATCAAGGCGATCATGCTGAAGTTGCTGAACAGTTGGGGCTTAGTTTAACGGGTCATTCACAAGGAATGTCGTCACCATCATCATCTGATGAGGGAACGCATGGGACAATGAATCCTGATGGTAATTATTTAATGCATATTTTTTATGAATTGTTGTTTTTACATCCTGTATTTTTTTACAGTTTCATCTTCAATGTCAGTTCAATCAAATAATAAATACAAAGGATTTGAACGATCATTTTGTATACGAATGAAATCAACCCTCACGAAACGTGGATGTCAGTTTAAACAGTCGACTGGTTATAGAGTAAGTAAAAAATCGCCATCAAATCATTTTTATGTTTTTTTATATCCACAAGAAAGAGCAAAAAATTCACCATCGTTATTGTATATTAAAATACCTTTAGGACGTTTCGAATCCAAAGAACGCAAATGCCAAACCAAACAATGGTCATTACTCGGTATGTAATTGTTTGAAGTGTGAATTCTTTTAAGTTTTGTTCGCCATTATTACAGTCATAATATCCAACGAAGATTTCTATTCAAATCAAGAGTTTTTCTCATTCAAATATTTTATTCTTCTTCTGCTCGTCTAATTTCAGGTTGTATTGATACTTTGCAGACTGAGGCCACAATACTCATTCAATCATAATAAGAAGTCTCAGCCACAGTTATTGGGAATGGTTGCGTTGGCAATTGGTGAGTTATTTTTGGAATTTTTTTTTTTTTGTATAATTATTGTGGAATGTCTTCTTTGAATACTGATAAATTGTAAAGATTTTTTGACATTGAATCGAAATTCTTTGCTTTAATTTGAATTTGGGATTGGTTTTTAGGGCTACCAAGGCACCGATGTACTTCAAAGTCAAAATACTACTTTTTGGTGTCTCGGATTGCCCTAGAAACTAACTCCAGAGGTCGACCTTAACTTCAATGACTGCTATTTGGAAACCATATGAAGTTTAGAATATAAATAAACTTCGTACGGATTCCAGATGGCTGTTCAAATGGTACAGAACTAATCAATCATTTCTTGATTTACCTCGTCAGTTCTCCACTCTTAGATTGCCTTTACGGGCCTTTACCTTTCTTTGTTTAAAGAAAGCTAATATTTACCATTATCAAAACCTTAATTATCTAAATTCTAATTCTATTCAGCCCTACCACCACCATCAGTTCATGAGATACGACTAGAATGTGATATGTTTGTAACAAGAATTAACTTTGATTTCCGATTAGCTCATTGTGAGCCAAAGTAAGTTAACATTAATAAATCATTGAAAATCATTAATTAAACTTGTTTTGATTTTTATTGCAGAATCACGGAAGTTCTTGGATATTCAACAGACGAACTTGTTGGCGAAAGTCTTTATAACCTCTGCCATGGAGAAGATGCAGTGAAACTCCGAAAATGTCATTCAGACTGTAAGTTTTGATTATTTTAAGCTACAAAATATGATTCTTAAAGTCATAATTACTAAGCAAGGGGAAAACATTGTTGTTGCAAAAGTTTTCATTGAAAAACTTTCATCAATTATGATGAAAAATCATTTGAAAATTTTCGATAAAAAATTTCCCCATCATGTTGTTCTCCCTTTATAACAAAAGCTCGTTTGCATCACTTAAACCAATCATTTTCTCTTTAATTTCAGTAATCGAAAAAGGCCAAGTCCTAACCCATTACTATAGAATCCTCAACAAAAATGGAGGATATACTTGGATACAAACATGTGCCACAATCGTATGCAATATTAAAAATAATGATGAACAGAATATAATTTGTGTAAACTATGTAATAAGTGCAAGAGAAAATGTAAATGTTGTTATGGATCAGTGTCAGCTTGAAATAATTAAACGTGAAGTTCACGCGCCATCACCAATAGATAAGGAAGTAAAGCCATTACAAGATGTTAAGGATGATATCCCATCTGTTAAAATTGAAACGCCAACACCTGAAATTAAAACTGGAGCTGCTCGAAAAACTACACCTGAAGCGAAAGTTGAGGAACCGCCGACACGTGGAAGGAAAAGGAAACCTAAGCAAGATAATCAGGATACAAATAAAAAACAGAATTTACCACCAGCATCTACAATTTTAAGTGATACATCATCTTGTAAGGAACAGGATACGATAAAAGACCGAGCAGAGCCTTCAGTCAGAGATCTAGAGAATGCCATGTCTAAGCATCTTCCATCGCCATCATCGAATCATGCAACAGATTTTAGTACGAATTCCCTGCTTAAAACTCAAGATAAAGATACATCTTGGAATTCAGCATCAACATTTGAGCAACAGCAGCCTCCTGTTATGCCAGCAAGTTCGCTACTTAAGCAACTGTATGCAAATCGAGAAAGTGTAATTAGAGCTGCAACTCGTCCTAGTTATGTCTACTCAGATGGTGCTCTTCCAACTCCACCTGGCAGTGAGTATCCACCATCATCAAATGAAGGTTACCCAACGAACTATCCAGCAGTATCATATGCTTCCAATTCTGTAGAATATAATAACAATAACATGACACCGCCAGGTTCTGTATCACCTAGAGATCTCAGCAGTTTGGGTGCAAAAGGCGTGCCAAATTACGATTATAATCATTATGTACCATCGAATGAAACAACAGTCTTACAGCTTCCATTAAAACCGCAACCTTATGCCATACACAATTATCCAGATGGACAGTATTTTACTCATCATCCTGGATTTTGGTATCCTACACCTACTTAAGTTATTCGTGGCATAATTTTCTCTTTTGTAGCTTCATGTTTATTTTTGTATAATTTATATAATACCAAGGGGATAACAGCATGATGGGGAAAAACATTTTCATCAGTTTTCTACTAATAGAGTAGAATTTGTGGCCAAATTTTGGATGGGAAATTGATAAAAAAAATTCCTCATCATGTTGTTACCCCCTTGAATAATACTCTTGTATAAAGGAAATGCTATCAGTTATTTAACGCCAAAGCAAAAATGAAGAGAAAAAAAAATCTAAAAAAAATACTCAAATGCTCGTACATGCAACACGAAATTCTGTTTTTTGATACATATCCTTATATAAAAAAATTAATTAATTCCTTAAGATATTTAAAAAAATCAAAATTATTGAAAAAAAAATACTCTCTAAAGTAATTTCTTGTGCAAATATAAAAATTAGATAAGATTCAATTTAGTATGAAAATATTAAGGAACAAGTAGGTACCGGAAATCGGATCTGCTGCTTCCATTTCTCCTTAATTTTGTTTTTAGTTTTGTAAATAGAATTTTTGTAAAACAAATTTTTCTTCCAAGCTTATGAGTTAATTTTGTATCGTTAAGGTTATTTAGACCAATGTATTTTTAAATTAATTAATCATTGAATGATCAGCCATATTTGAAAGTAATTGCACTATAAATAAAATTTAAAAAAAAAGTTTTCAGGAAACAAAAACGAAAAGATTATTTAAATAAATTTCACAATGGTTGATGAATAAACGATTAACTCATAACTTTTAAGAAGAATCGATAAATATGAATAAATTTTTAGCTAATAAATAAAAAGACATGCATAAATGTTAAGATATGTGACATATAATTGACTTGGAGTTTTTATTAAGTTTGTGGTTTTTCAGTATAAGTGAATTGCTAAGCTTCATCCTAGTTCTTGGAGGATAAAGTTGTGGAGAACCAGTAATAATTCAGGAGCAAACACTCTTAAAAGACACTGAAAAAGCTGATCAAATTCAAAATGTCAGTTAAGAATGGGTTGAATTGAGTGGAAGTCAATTTTGCAACAAATTACAATGTCCATGAAAAATTCAACTCAGAACCTCACAAAAGTTTCACATCAAAACATTTGAACCGTTCACGCAAATCCATTTAAATATTTCAAATACGTTTTAACATTCACAGCATCCCAAAAATTCTATATCATTTAAAATTTCATGCAGATACTTTTTTGTATGCAATTTCCAGTCACATCTAATCTGTGATTGTGAATCATCACAAAAAAGTCACAAACAATTTAAAATATCATGCATTTTTTTCCAACACATTATCATATACATGCTGTATTATAGAGTCAGAGAAAATGACTGAGAGATCCCTCTGTGCATAAACATTAATTTTATATATTTTGATGAAATCTTCTCTTTTCTAAAAAAAACACAACAATAAAGATCAGTATTTTTTAGAATGTCGTTTAGTTCAGTTGAAATCTACCTTCATTGCAGTTCAATATAAAGAAGAAATAAATAAGTTGTAATTGAGTTTATGCGATAATTTCTCGATAATATTATAGAACTTTTATTGACTTTAATTGGTTGAGTTATAAGATAATAATAGATTGCAATTGTGAGAACAAAAAAAAAGAATTCTTTTTTATCACAGAACAAAAAAAAAAGAGACAAGTCATTAAAGTGTGAAACTCAAACAATTACAAATTAGTTTGTTAATATCACTTGTATAAATAATTCAATTTTGTTTATTCAAATGATAGCTACAATATGTATTCAATGATATAAGCGAGATATCAATAACAAAAAAAAAATAGTGGATATACATATGAGATTTTATTATGACAGCAGCTTGATTTTTTTTTTTTATGAAAAGTATATTCCAATTTTGTTTTTAACTAGTCAGTGATTTAACCGTACGACCATCTAAGTGTTCATACTTTTTTTTCGTAAATCATGGGGAAGCACACCAGCACAAACCAAAAAAATATCTGTGAAGCACATGATAGTGAGATGAAAGTATTAATCGACAAGTGTAATGTATGTCATTCGAATTTGAATAGTATAGAGCATGGGAAATATTGCAATCATCATCATCATTCGCTGCATGGTAAGAACTTCTTTTTATTTTTCATTTGTGGCTACACTTATTTACTTCCGCGAATTTTAATTGATTAACTTTTGGTGCCATACATGATCTCCTCTTCTTGCGCTCGCCTCAATTATGAGTTATTTCTTTTAAATTAGTAAGTGACGTGAACCATCTTAATGACCCCTTACATTCCAGGCCTTATGTCTGTTTTTTTTTCATCTACTCTGTGTTAATTTGAATATTAATTATCAGCATTAAAAGATTAAGACACTTGCGAGATAGGACGGAGTTCTAATCAAGAATTTAAGCGCCATAAATTTTTCTGATATTTTGACAATTTATTTTTTGCATGCGACAAGGAAAGTTCAAAAAGCCGCGAGAGTTTGTTTAAGAGTAATCAAGGAGTTGTGCCTGCTAAGCGTGCCCCACACGATTTTCCATAGAATTCAATTTTTGAAATATTCTTGAATTAAAAGCTGGTTTCGTGGGCTACTCAGGACATTATACTATAGGATCATATCTACCAAAACAGCACAAGTCTTTTATTATATCAGATTTGATTTGTATTAGGCTTTATGCGAGAGTCACGCCGGCTCAAATTAGAGTTTCTGTGGGTTGATTCCTAGCTACCCTAGTCAAGAACAAATTTAATTTTCACCTCTGTCGCTCAGTACATTACTATAACAAACAGATCAACGAATAGTATTAAGCTAAAGAATCGCCAAATTCATCAAACTTTAAAGAACATCGAAGACAAATTCCACAAAACTTTTAATTGCCATTTACTTATCGCTTTTTGTAGTGACAATTTTATTTTTTTTTTTATTTTGTTCATTTTCAAAAAAAAACAAGTCTGAAATTAATGAATTATTTCGCCGGCATCTGTAGATTCCCCTCACTCGCATGAATGAAATGGAATGCATGTATAAGTTGGAATCACGATATTACTCAGCACTATTCAATTCATTCGTGAATTTAGTGGAAAAAATAAGTATTAAACATATATCGTCCATTATCTCCAATAAAAAATACACGTAAACGACAATCTTATTATGTCGTTAAGAATCAACTCGTTGTCGTCGACGTCGATTTTATTTTTTTTTTATTCTTTTCTTTTTGATAAAAGAGGCTTAAAAGATCACACATCGTTATTGTTCTTGCTGTTGTTATTCAAACTGTATAGTATGTACACAAAACAAAAAATTGTGAAGCTTGATAAAGTGAATATAGAAAAAAAGATAGTAGGAAGAAATTTTGTTTTATCAGCATTCTTATTAACGACAATTGGACAATACAATACAAAACAGAAGTAGCAGGCAGGCGTTGTAAGGATTATTTTTTTTTGTCGTCTTGGAGTGGATCACTTGAATGCAGTTAAATTAATAAACATACATCAACATTGTTGAGTTTATGAATGAGAAGCACTTGAAGAAGTGTAAAAACCCTTTTTGAAGTTACAAATGATGACAGTTACGGCTTGAGGGAGAGCCAGACTGCTTGGAGGTTGCAAGAATTTTTGGAGGTATGAAGAGAGTATTGCTCGAATTTTCTGAAGAGATGGTTGACTCTAGGGGCGTAGAAAGAAAGGAGACGATTAAGTCAGGGTCAAAATCCTTATGACAAGCTAGTTCCATAAGGATTTTCAAAAATTTTAAAAACCATCCTCTAGAGTCCTTTGAGTCTCTAGAAGTTGTATCCTAAGTAAAGACGTGAACTGGCGTAACTTTTGCATGGTGGTAGATTCGATTTAAGAGTACCATGCTAGAATCAGACCAACTTGTTGCTGGATTTTTATTAGATTAACCGACTTCTGCCATTTATGAGATCTCCAAATACAAATATTAAATTCAAAATTCCGAAAATCCTTACTACGCCACTAATTCCTTCACAATCTACCTTTTCCACACGGTTATATTTCTATTTGATAAATCACATACAGACTCAAATGAATGCACATTCCATTGTTTTGTGATTTTTATATGCGAGCAGACTCGAGAGAGGAAAATCTTTGCAAGAGCTTAATTTGCCTTAAGCTCAACCATCTGATTATGACAACTCAAATCTTCATTGTTGTTGTTTTTTATGCTTACTTTTAGTTTGTAAGTGAATAACTTTTAAAATAGAAAATTCATTTTTTAAGTCAATTGTGAATTCAGACATTTGAACTTTGAGACTGTAGATTGCAATGTTTAAAAGATTGTTTATTTATGCCAATTCTTAATTTTTGCTATTCGTTTGCTAATTTTAAAGGTAAATAAAAGAGAAAACTTTAGTATTCGTTGTTTAATGACTAGAACCCAGCAACTCCTTGAGTTCTAATCTTCTCTGAAAACTTGGACTGAGACCACAAAAACAAAAAAGTTCACATGTACTAAAATAAATCATGCAAACTCGTTGAAACAAGGAAGTTTTTGTTTCGGACACATGTAACGTCTCAAATCTAGTCACTTCCTTATAATTTAATAAAACTATTTGATTCAATATGAAAGCAATTTGTTAAACAAAACTTATGGATGTGAAAAACACACAAAAATATTCAAATTGATTTTGATATTCATATATTGTTCATAATCTTTACTTGCTGCATTTGACATTTAATTTTAAAGATGTAGGTCAGTTCCATGAATGCAAGCATTATGAAGAACATTAAGAATGGTTCATTTTATCTTTCCAAGTTAATAAATCTTTAAAATATGATATTTTAACTTTAAGAAAGCATGTTCAACCAATTTCAAAATACTTTTGATTCTAATCAGTGTTGCATTCTGGCCATTTGTCTTGATCAGATAAATTCTGAGACAGAAATTTCTTCATAAAGATCGATTCTATATGAAGATAGAAAATCTAATCTGCACAAAGATTATTTCTACATAAAGATTCTGTCTACATAAAGATTCGATGTAGATGTCTACAATTCTACATTCTTCTCTGATGTAGACCTGTAGACATCTACATCGAATCTTTATGTAGACAGAATCTTTATGTAGAAGCAATCTTTGTGTAGATTAGATTTTCTATCTTCATAGGGGCTGTTCACTTATTACGTAACGCGAAAAAATAACTTCTTAGACCCCCCCCACCTCGTAACAAAATTTGTATGAAAAAAAATTTCCTTGTTTGAACCGTAACAAAATCTTAGACCCCCCCCCCCTCCCCCTAAAAGCGTTACGTAATAAGTGAATGGCCCCATATAGAATCGATCTTTATGAAGAAAGTTTCTTAGCTAGACAAAAACTATTGAAGAATCTACATTCTTCATCTAGTGTAGACATCTACATTTGCAACACTGATTCTAATTCGCACCTCCTTGTATATTTTCAAATTTTATAAACCAAATCAAGAGTTTGTTCAAAAGCTTACGCGTGAACACATTCATGACTCCTCAATTGTAACAAATTTTCAGAGTCAGTGATAATTTATAGTCCATAAAAAAATAAAGATGATTACGCTACGCAAGATTACATCATGTATGACATCTTTAATTTCATACTCTCTTGAACTTTTGAAGAATTAATCAAATTCGTCAAAGACTTTTTGTTTCAATTTGTTTGAATATTCATAAAATAAGTACTTCATTAATCAATTCTGAGACAAAAATGATTTGACACTTTAATGATTTTTTAAATGCAGTATTGTTTTAAATTTAAATATTTAACAAATTGAATTTGTTTTGGGAATTGATCACTTCATAGAAGTTCCTCAAATGAAAAAAGAAATTCAAAACACTTTTCAATCGATAAGTTTATATCTTTTAAGGACATCAATCGGGAAAAATGAGTAATTTTGCTTAAACTTAGGAAGTTCGATTGAACAATGAGCCAATCTTTGTCATATTGATAACACTCTTTATAATTATTGAGATATCGTTTTTTGGTGGGAATCGAACCCACTTCTGCATAAAAGAAGGTTTTTGATATCCAATCGGTTACTTAATCACTCGCGCTACAGAGACCTAACTCTTGAACTGGCAGATTCGCTTATATATGGCTCGAAACTCCAGATTCTACTTTGCTCTGACACCACAGCTATGTTGTCTTAAAGCAGTGTTGTACAAAGTTTTATGGGCTGTGAAACAGTACAAAGTACAAAGCCCCTAACGCAGAATAATTAAAATCATTTAATAGCTCATAGTTAATGCAGCCCTGCTTTCCAGGTTCAAGCCTTATATATTCATAACTCTCTAACATTAGTTCATATACAGCAATGTCATTATCCTCATAAACATTGTAATACATAAAGTATAAAGAAGTAAAGAGTTGTCATCCTTTTACCAGCATATCCCAAAGTAATCCGTTAAATCTTAATTCAACCTCTAATTGTATCCCGCATGATTATTAATACTAGATACACGGATAGAATCCCCCTTTAAAAATCTCCAAATTAAATCAAAACAAAAAAGTTACACAATTCAAATATTTACTTTGAGAGATTTCAAAAAGAGAAAAAAGAATTTATTTTCAAAACAAATCTGAAAAGTTCAACTATGCTATGAGCAACATATGTATATCCACATTAAATTATCACATGAAAAATATGAGACAACGTGAGAGAGAATCTCGTACGAAAAAAAAACTATTTCAAATTTTTTTCATTAAATTTCTCACTTACATTCATTTGTATCAATTCAATATATTTAAATACAATTGCGACGTGAAACAAAAACATCACGTGAAATTAGAATAAAATTATCAAGTATGATCATCGGCAGCATCATCGTTGACTTCGTCATTATATGAGAAAAAATAAAAAAAAAAGCAAATCGTGAGCAAGAAAGGATAGTGAAAGTAAAAATGTTGAACGTGAGAGAATCAAAGACACAACAAAGCCGTACTGTGCATGTATTTACTGCAACTACGAGAAATTGAGTAGTCAGAGAAGAAAAAAAAAGTTTTTCACAATTCACAGGGAGGAAAAAAAACAGAAACAGATTCTATATATCTCGTGAAGCACACGAGAACTCAACAAACGATACAATTTCGGTTTTCTCGTTGATGTGGGTATAATATAGCAGCACACAACCTATTAAAAAACAGTTACTCTCGGAAACTCGTGACGGATGAATCGCAAAAGTGAAGGAAAATTAATGAAAAATAAATAAAAATTTTTTTTTGAGAGATAATAATTGTGGATTATAAGTGATAAGTGCGGCCAAATTCATAAAATGGATAATTTGAATCAAAAGAAAATAAACTTTCGTTATATCGCATAAAATTATAATAATAAAAAAAATTGTGAGTTGAGAATCATTTTCATATTATGACTGAATAAAACGGAAAGTAAAAAAAAAAGATAATATTAAAGTTCATGTGCATAAATAAATCAGATTTACAAATTTAAATGAGAGATATGTCACTTAACATCTTGTTAAGTTATGACACACACATGAAAGATGAAAATGAATAAATTCTTTTGCCAGCAATTAATGTTTATTTCACCAAACATGAGGAACTGAACAAAAAATAAAGTGTTTTTGAGTGATTTTTTTTTCAAAAAAAGACAGGAATTCCTCAAAACTTCTCTAAATAATGAACAAAAAATTCTTCTTTTCATGTTGAGATAAAAAATTCTGTGTTTTCTCAAACAAAAAAAATTCGATTTGTTTTCCGTCCTCTTTTCTCAGTTGTTGCTCATTAGAAATTTTCATTTTCCCCGTGCTACTTGAAATGATGAAAGGATTCTTGTCATTTAGCTGTCACGTCCACAATATATGGTTAATAACACTTAAGTTTTGTGGTGATAATTTGAAAAATTTTTATGAAATTTTAAATAAGATTTAAAATATTTTTATGTGATGAGGTAGAATTTTGTAGGATGAGTTAAAAATATAGCTTTTGGTCTACATGATAATATTTTGTTTAATTTTGAAAAATTTAAATAGCTTGAGGAGAATTTTGTGAAATTAAATTGAATTTTAATAATCACAAATTATTGTTAAAGGTTGAAATTATATTTTATACGAAACGAACTTACAAATTTAGGATAAAATGTACCAGATAAGTTAAGCGTGATTTGCACTAGTTTCTGTTAAATGAGCTTGATCAATAGAACAATTTAAAATCAAAAAGAATTTTTTGGGACAACAAAAATCTTTCATTTAATTGATTTATCCAGAAATCTTAAAAATGATAAATTCTTGTCTATTTTAGAATGACTTTAGGAAAAACGAAGATAGAAAGTTGCAATAAAAAAAATTGTGGCAAAAAATTCTGCTTAGAGATTATTTTTCTAACAATTAAATTAAAATGGATTAAAGTTTAAACAAATTTCATGATTTTTTAGATTAAACGAATGAATAAACTTGACCTATCTAGATGTTTACTCGGAATTTGACGATAGCATCAAGAAATGGATCAAAACTTGTCTTTGTTTGAATTAAAAATGCAAATAAAGTTTGAAATGAACAACATTTTTTAAATAATTAAGTTTGTTCCTTAAAAATTTATAAATACATTTAGCAAACTTAAGAACTATATAAGCTACAATAATTCAGTTCAATATACTTGAACAAATCAAAATAGAAACATTGTTATTCGATGCTTTTTGAAAACTATATTAGCGATTTAATAAATATGAGCAAAAAACAAACTGAAATGTTTCTCAAATATTAAGAATATCTTAATTCGAATTTAATAGACCTCCAGACAATTTTGATTTGTGTTATGGCAATGTTTTAATAAACAAAGTCAAAATACAGATTTATATTCATTTTTTTTTTAAATTTTCTCTGATTCACTTTAGCGTTATGTTTTCAAACAAAATCAAAAGCTACAAGTGAAATGTGATCGTGCATCTTATTGGATTGTGATTCAATGGAAAACATTTTAATAAAAGTTTTAAATATTTTTTAGTCATACTAGTTGGACTGGATGTTTAAGAGTAGGTTTAAAGTATTTTGTTTCATTTTTCAAATTTAAAAAACTATTGAGTTCAATTGGAAAGTAAATACGATGATCGAAGACCATTTTGAGCAGCAGAGAATAAAAGGAAAAGGAAAAACCATAAATTTCTATTAATGAGATTTTTATCAATATTTCTGAAAACTTTCGAAAAACATAAGCATTTAATTACAATTCACATTCCTGTAAATTTCACTGCTAATTATCAAGCAACCAACACGTTTCGATAACATCAAAAAAAGTCATGTCAATGAAAAATCCTGTTCTTGTTTCGACGAACAAACATTTCAAAACATGAAAAATTGCTGTGTATCAAAGCATTAAACAGCTTTAACAAGTCATTTATCCAGACAAGATTTCCTGGTTAATTTTTCGACCCCAAAAGTTTATTTTATTTATGATTTCTTAAAAGAAAATTTGTGATGAAAAATGATTATTTTTTTTTCTCCTTAAGAAAGAGAATCTTTTCTCATTCGATATCGTGAAGAGATTTGTCGTGTTGCCAAATTTATAGAAGAAAAAAAAAATTATTGTGAACAGAGGCAAAGAGAGAACACGCACGATATACATTTTGATATATAATAAAAAGAAAAGAAATAAACGACAAGATAAATAAAGGAGACAAAGATATAAAAATAATAATTTTACAAAATAGAAAATTTCCTCATTTCATTTCATATTTTTTTTTTGTTTTGTGTGTTTGTGTATCTACAGATATGTTTCACACATAAAAGACATTTCTTTTCTGATTGTGACACAAGTGATATAATGATAGCTGTTAATGCATCTTTTCTTCTTCTTCATATCCAAATGCACATAATTGTGCATTTCCAAACAGATAGAGAATTTAAGTTTGCTTAAATTTTTGTCAAAAAGGTGTTGTTAGCGCATTTATAGGTCTGAATTTTGTAGTGGAAACTCTAATCCAGCTGAATTTCTGAATTTAGATCTGTAAACCTTTGTTTCTATTCCAAAAAGTGTGTCCAGAACTCCCGAATAGCAGAAGTCAGTAAAGTCATAAGTCAGAAGTCAGTGCAATTCGGGAATGCTTCAAAATATCAATTGCATTGGAAACGCACGTTGTATCTCAAACATGAAATTCCAAGAATCGTCGTGAAAAACCATACCATAATTAGCATTTTTTTCTCCAATTTTGTTTGAATAAATAGGAAGTTAGGTAAAAATGAGTTTTTGTAGATTGCAATTGTCTCTGACTTTTTAATGGTTTGTATTAAGGGACAAGACTGATTTAAGTGATTAATTCCTGATACGTTCAATTCATGTTCGACAGACTTATCGAAAGTCTAGGGGTGTTTTAATATGCACATTCGAAAAATTTTAATTTGAAAATCCGTTACAATTTTGGTCATTTATTCAAGTTTTTGATAGTTTTGAAAACCGATTTAGCTATATTATGCTTATTATCAAATGATAAAATAATATTTTCAGCTAAAATTTATGAAAAAATTGCTTAATTTAAGTTTTTATTTATTCCTAATTTTTGAAAATTTCGAACTGCAGGGTATGAAACTTCGAATTTTGCATGGCAGACAGACAAATAAGATCAGATTAATTCTATTAAAAAAGATCAATTGATCAGTTCAAATCCTTTGGTTTGAATGCTACAAAGTAATAAAACTCATTAATTCAAATTAATGATCTAATTGATTGTAATGACAACACTTTTGTCTGACCTCAATATTGGAGCTAATTGTTCAGTGTCCAAGAATTTAAAAATGACTATAAACATAGTTAAGTTTAACACTCGGATTCATTTGCTCGCAATTGTAAATTTTTATAATCAATTGAAATTTTCATCGATCTTAAATTAATTTTCAATTTTCTAATAAATTGATTTCTCTTAAGCGAATTTAAAAATTTTAATTCATTAATCAACGAAAAGTCAAAACTCATCCGCATTTCTCAATAATTTCACAGCAGATAATTGAGATGATCTGTTTCGAAATTTATTGGATTTTTAATAGCTAATTCAATTCTGCAATCAGAATGCAGAAATATAAAAAACTTTTGAATTGCACTTCAAGCATCATTTAAACTTTCATTAGCAAACAGTTCTGATCAAAGCAAGCGAAAGCAGATAAGCATTACAAACTGCAGACATTAACATTTGAACCTTTTGAAATCAAAGCTAAAAGCGCGAGAAGTAAAAACTAAAATCCATTCTGTTCACTTTTAAGTTCTTTCACATGAATTCAGCATATGCAGGCAATATGAGGAGAGAAAAAAGAATAAAAATGTGGATAAGATGAGACAAAGCGCAACTTCAAATCACTTACATGTGGATATATTAAAAATGCATTATTTTTTTTGCAATATCAATAAACTTTAATGACACAAGTCTGTATTTCATTTAGAGATGCTGCGGATTGATTGATTGACTATTTTACGTATTACTTTGATGTTAGAGAGTACAGAAGAGAGTAACATTTGCAGTTGAATGTATTTTATTTCTTCTCTGTGACAAATTTCGCTGTAGTTCTCAATAATAATATCTCACTGTCAATGATGAGGATGACAGTGTGTTTGTTTATTTTTTGTTTATTTCTAACTCTCTCGCGTGGTTTTTTTTTCAAAATCATTTAATTGGATCGGATATTTTTTTGATTATAATCACCTCAATAATGGCGCGGTGTGACTATCCATACGTATTGTGTGAGAGGGCAATAAACTCATCTGTTTGTCTAAATGTGATTTTTAAATTTTTTCAAGTAACTCATTGACAATGATTTATTTGTTTTTATATCTACGCTTTACAATGCAAAATGCTTTCTTTTAATTTTTTGACGGCTTATTTTAACTACAAAATTGTCATAAACTTGAGAATTATTAAAGTGTTTTTCTTTGTAAAGTCTTTAATAGGCTTCAAATTGAATTATGATGATATAAAAGGATTTAATGCCAGTATGAAAAGTTTTTGATTAGATGTGACCCTTATGAAAATTGTTTCAAAAGTATTAAATAGCTTGCGATTGATCAGTGTTTTAAATGAGTGTGTTCAGAAAATTTACAAGGAGTCGTTAGATCTCTTCACGCCAGAATCAGTCAGAATCAGAAACAATCCAGAAATATCATTTATTGATCATAATTTAACTAATTTGGATTCTTAAACCGAATCTTCAGAATTCTCGACAAACTTCAATCATTTAATTAAATAATAATCGTAAAATTTTATATCTTCATTAAATTAAGTTTAATTGATAACTAAATTCATTCTTTCTTTATGTTAAAATTCCTTCAAAATGTTTGAATTTGACTTTTTGTGAACTTTAATTTTTTAAATTGAAAACAGCAATAAATTATTCTAATTCATATTAAATGTTTTCCAACAATCATCGATGCTTAATTTATCTAAATTTTATATTAACAATGTTCTTCAATAATCCAAATCTTTGCATATGTTTTTGACTTCAAATTGAAATCTTTTTTAACTTAATAAAAATAGAATAAAATTTATTATTACGAAAAAATATTTATCATTATTACTACTGAGCTATGGCAATTTTAATCCTCTTGAGATGAAAAGGAACGAAGAGAAAAAAAAAATGTTCAATTGTGGCAAATAAATAAATTTTAAGTGAACTGTGAGGCCGACGTGTGTCTATTGAAGATAACATTGTGATGTTAAATCGAAAAAAAATATTACATTCTATAAGTTCTGCTTGCTTCTCCTTCCTCGTCCTCATTTTATCACTCTTTTGTCCTGTCCTTGTTGAATACAAAAAAATGACTTTTTTTCCTTCCTATTGGACTTTCGTATTAGATTATTATGAAAACATATTGAAATCGAGTTGTGAAGTAATTTGATTTTAAAATCAATTCTCTCATGTGAGATTTGGTAACTGATGTACCTTAATCTCATATTATATATTGGATTGGCTAAGTTTGTGAATCAACAGACGAATTGAAACTTATTTAAAATTGAATTTTGACTTACTTTGGTTCCAAGGAGTATATTCAATATACAACTAAGTTAAAAGATGAGTTAAAATCGTGTTCTTGGCTCAGGATATTATTACTAACGAATTTAAAAGTATTTCTTAAATTTCCCGCCAAAAAACAAAGTTTGTAAAAACCTTTTTTATTTTGAAAATTAATTAAATTCATATAATGTAACCGAAATTCAGTAAAACCAGAAGTAAAAGATATGATTATTCCTAGTCAGATGGTCAACCTACGTCAAAAATAATATCCATACGGATTCATTAATAAATCAATAAAATATTTCACATGTTTTTTTAAAGAAAATATTTCAAAATTTTACAATATTTACGTGAAAATTAAAAATCCTTTTCATCTCGCAATAAATTTTCTTTGGCAAGTTTAAACATTGAAAGAATTAAAATCTTAAATTTTTCGTGCAGACAAAACAAATCAAATCAAATTTATATTTTTTGGGATATTTATTGGACGTTGTATCATAAATACGTCAAAATCGATAGACAGGAAATAAATCACATTAGTATGGAATTTCTGATACAAAATGAAAGTGAAGATGAAATGAAAAGTGTTTATTATTGTAAAGGAAATCATATTTTAATAGTTTTTTGATTGTGAACTAGTTTGAACCGTTATAATGTTATAAAATGATAGGAATTTAAAAATTAATCTTGAGTGTTCAAGTCTTGCAACTACTGTAATTAATTGAGAATTTCAATATTTAATAAATAGACAAATCATCAAATCAAATCATTCATCTTCAAAATTTATTTTCAAACTAGAAATTTTAGTTAAAAATTCCACAAACAACTTCAAAAATACTCGCAAAAAACCAACAGTCCTTTACATCTGCTAAACTAAGTTTTCAGACAAGTTTTAAGCTAATCCAAACATGAAACAAAAGTCACACGAGTAGAAAAGAAAACTTGTTTATATTTTTTGATCAGAAAAGAAGATTTCAGATTATAAGACAAAAACTTTTTCAATTCAAAGTCCAATTCCCATGTCCAACATATATTCTCCTCTGCTATTTTCATAACTTTAATGAAAACCACAAAAAAGGGAGTTGCAAGTCAGCCAATTTTCTTATCGAAAAACTTATTTTTTTTTGCTCCCTTTTGTTCTCATTCACATGACAAAAGCTTACCTACATAAGTCACTGAAAAGGACATTTAATTTATTTTTTTCTTCTTGCTATTCGAAATATATTTAAAAGAATAAGTGACATTTCCATATATTGAATATAAATAAAGTTCGATAGATGAATATTAAAAGTCAATAATGTTACAGAATAAAAGACTTTTTTGCATACGTTGAAAAAAATTGATTTCCTATTTTACATACAAGAACTTCAATGATGCATGTGAATTACGAAACTTTTCTGATGCACATTTATAGTTTTGTGTTTCACTATCATTCCTCCTATTGCTCTAAATACGATTTTTTTTTTCTATTACTATTATTGATGCTATTGTTGCATTGCTCCTGGTAAACGTAGGAGTAAGAGAAAATGCAAATCACAACAGAAACAGAAAAGAAAAACACAACAATGAAAATAGGTTATGTGACGATGCACATATACGTGAAAATAATAAGGTCAAGGTTGCTCTCGTTAAATTTAAATCTCGCATGCAATAACGAACTCAATTCACGTAATCGGATATAACTGACTCGGTGCGAGAGAGGAAATATCACTAATTTGTGTTTTGTTTTTCTTTTTTCTCAAATTTTCTATGTTTTTTTTCTGCAAAACACTAAAAAATTGGAAATCATCAAAACTGCAACAGCAAATGTCATGCCGAAACCAAACTCAACAGAAATGACAGCTAATTTAAATCAACAAGAAGCTATGTTAGCGAATTCATCAAATACAAATTTAAATTCGAGGGTGGTTGAGGCACAGACGACAAAATCAAAAGGAAAACTTTACGTTGACGATGAGTGCGACGTGATTGGTGATTTAATTGGACATTATGGAAAATGGCAGTGTATGATGACATTACTGTTATCTTTATTTCAAGTGCCAAATACGTTTCACATTTTCTCACCAACCTTTCAGGTGAGTTGGCTTACTTTAGGGAAAAGAACACATCCAAGCGACACGAAGACATTATTTGGAAGTAGCTTTGTCTTCTTTGTGTGGCTCCGAAAAGAAAAAAAAAACAATCTTTGTAATAATAATTTCTAAATTCCATAAATTTATCATTAAAGGCAGCAGACAAAGATTTTTGGTGTAAAAGACCTGAACACTTACAAGTTGAGAGCAACTTAACAAGTATTAACGCATGGCGTGCAATATCAAATTCTTCAGAAAATTGTCAAATGTACGATTATGATTGGACATCTGTGTCGCTACAACAAATTCATGTAAGTTTATTTTCTTGTTGATCTAGGAGTGTCAAATAAAGATTATAGGTTATCAGAACCTGAAAAGCTCAGAATCGGTCTCAAAAAATTCTTAACCAATTTTAGACATCTTGATAAATTTTTTTCTTTACAGATTGAGGATTTGTGGCACAGAATCAAGAGCATAGATAGCTTTTGGTCTCTGTTCCTGACAAATTTGACTTAGAATCAGTAAAATCATTAGATCAGTGGTTAGATTTGATCAGATCTGTGCTTGCATTCTCGATTTGAATGATCAATCGCTCTTTAATCTTTTTGATTAGTTTAACAGCCTTAGAGACTTTATAAAAATTCTCAACAAAATCTTAAACTCTATGCTTAGCTTCAATTTTTAAGATTCTTGTAGACCGATTCTAATCATTTATAACTCCAACAAAGGATGCTGTTTTCTCAGAAAATATTGATCATTGAATAATTTGTTCAATTCAGCACCTTTGTCACCAACTTTTTAATCAAATTTCAAATCTCAATTTTTTTTCAATAAACACAGCAAGAAGGATTCTCAATCCAAAATAATAATCTAACACAAATGGTAGAATGTCACAATTGGGAATATAACATGACAGATAGCTTGGGTAATACATGGAGTAGTGAATGGAATTTAGTATGCGAAAAGAAATATCTTAAGATTGTAGCCGAAATGATATTTCTCATTGGTGTTGCAACAGGAGGAATTGTCTCTGGGATGTTGTCTGACAAATTCGGACGTAAAAAGATGCTCTTCATATCGGCTGTATTTCAATCATTTTTCGGTAAATATTTTGATTCCTTTACATGTCCTTTGTGGTTTGTGCTTTTTACATTTCCATAAATTTTCTTTTCTCTTTTTCCAATTTTCAAACAAATCCTTAAATAATGAACTTTTTTCTTTGTTGTTGTTGTTGGCATCGACAGGTCTTGCATTATTTTTTGTGGAATCATTTGAACTTTATTTAGTACTACGAGCTCTATTAGGCATTGCATCAGTGTCTGTGACATATTCAGGACTAATATTGGCGATTGAGTATGTGGATGGCATTTGGCGTACAATTGCCGGAATGTACAACTTGTTCCCACTGCCACTTTCTTACATCATGATATCAGGCATCGCTTACTTAACACAAGATTACAAATATTTACAACTATGTATAGGATTGCCCGGTATATTTTTATGTCTTCTATGGTGAGTATAGACATTCATTCATTGTTTTCCTTTGCATTTTGCCAATTCCTCTTCTTCTTGTTCCGAACCACCAAGCAAATAAAAATGTGATATATCAAAGAGATTTATTCATCTTTATGTGAAGTCTACAATGTACCATGACTAAAATAGAGCGATGTTTTCTCTCCTTTTCATTTACAATTTGCAACAAAAAAAAAACAGCTACTTATATTCGCGTGCCGTTTCAAAAATAGACTGTAACATGCAACGAGAAATTGTTACAAACGTAGTAAATATTTTACAGTTGACACTTTGTTGAGTGAAAAGTGCATTTTGAATTATTCATTTTGAGAGTAAAACGTTTAATGAATATTTTATGAATTAGTATGTAGGATTTCGTTTCGGGGAATAGATGAATGGTTTGAGTTTTTATAAGAAGTGTATGGTATGGAGTAGTGATAATATGGAAGTATTAATCCCCTTTTGAACCTTTTTGCAAGGCATGTACACGAAATTTCATCCGAAACAATAGAATGTTCATCCATTTTCATCCTGAACTGAAGGATTATTCATCCGGTGTCCATGCCTTGCTTTTTAGAGCCTCATGTTATAACTTTGGTCTTTGTTTTTTAACTAGTTTTGTTGGATCATATTTGATTTGATCTTAATTCAAACGTGAAGCTGGCATGACACTTTCCTTATGAAATTCGTACATAGTAAGTCAATGGCCAATATAAACTTGAATTCTAAGTTATAACATCCAAAATTCAGTCAGTTAACATACCAAAAATCCTCCTAAACCAGAGACAATTACTACCAATAATTTTAGTTCCAAAGCTATTCCTGTGAACACAATCATGCTGACCTTCAACTATGACAAATGTTCTGAAGGAGTTCAGCTGTTCAAAACAATAATATTCAAAAATTCTTTAAGCATGTAGATTTTTAAAAATACACTTACTTTATGTCTAGATGATACAAAAATATTTCATGTACAGTTCATATTTCATTCGACTCATTCATAGTAAATTTCTCACTCTACGTGTAAACAAACGACAAGTCTCATTATGAGGACGTGAGTGGAAATGAGTTAAATAGTGTAGCTTGTCTGCCACCGTAGCAATGTTTGCACAAAAAATTTTTTTTAATGAAATTAAATGACAATTTCACACTTATTTCATCGCGTCTTTAAAATTCATCCTTCAGTGCTCGTTCAGTGAAAGCAAAATTTATGACTAGACTGTTTTATGTGCTTACTTTTTCTTTTGAATATTTATTTCCCTCGACGCGGCACCGTACTATTACGAAGAGAGAAATATGATAAAAGTAATAATCATAAGCCTTTCTTTTTTTGTGTGTCGTAAATGACGCGTGTTAAAATTTTTCCGCGATAAACATAAGCGAATTGGACGACAGCCAATAATAGTACATATTATTAAAGAAAAGAATTTCACGTATTTAAGTCTTTATCTTTCTCGTATTTAAGTACGATGACGAAAAGTTATCGAAAAAAAAAATATTTCGGATGAGTAAAAATAGTGAGAACAGATGTTTGATATATTCAAGACATCGTCTACGATAACAAAATGGGTGGAATGGGAAGAAGGAAATTTATGGTGACAAATAATGACGGAATAGTTTAATTAATTTTTATTTTTATAGGTTTGTGGTTCCCGAAAGTCCACGATGGCTACTTTGTAAAGGAAAAATAGCTGAAGTAAAGGAAGTGCTTCAAAGTGCTGCCAAATTCAACGGTCGTGAACTTCCAGAAAATCTCGATAAATTTTTAAAGCCACCGTCAAATGAGGAATCGGAATCAGGTGTCAGTGAACTCTTTCGTACAAAATATCTGCGATTAGTAACATTTTGCTTCCTTTGTATTTGGTTCACAATGGTAAGCATATACAGAAGATGCCCCAATTTATGATGATTTATGGTTTACATTGATTTTTATTTCTCCTTTCCTTACTCAGAATCTCGTCTACTATGGTCTTGTGCTGAACATGAACAGTTTCGGAGGGAACATTTATGTCAATAGTGTAAGTTCATTTCATTTTATTATCATCACAGCAAATTCGTACCAAAACATTAAATAAATCCTTTAACAATAAGACCTGCACAGCAACAAATGTCTGACAATTTTATTTATAAACTTTTCCATATCAAAAAAATACTTTTACTATTCCATTCTTCTTCTTTCTTTGTTTGGAAGCAATCCAATAAAAACATAAAAATTTTCTGCTCATATGACTTAATACGATTCACGTCTCATACATGAGAAAATATATAAAGAAAAAAAAATATTAATTTAAAATTTATTTGACGTTTAAATGAACAGAAATTACGGAAAAAATGTTTGTAACTGCAAGTTAAGGATGTTTATCAATTTTTCATACAATTTATATGTAATGATTATTTGATTTTAAACTTTATTGATGCTATAAATTAGTCAGATGTAAGTCGATCGATTAATAACGATTGTAAGATAGAAAATGATCATTTGTTGCAAAATATATATGTTTGTAACTTATTGAGAGTTCAGGATAGACTGTCTATTTGACTTTATGGTAAAGTGCGACTCTACAAGTCCAATATAAAGAGAATCCAATATAGAATGGCGTAAAATTATTAGATGATTGAGTAGATATTACATTTCATGCATTTAAAGCATCCCTTACCTTCCTTTAAAAGAAAATCTTTCAAGTTTTATAGTTGTCCAGTACAACTTCATGCTTTCTGCTGGTCAAAGTCGCGAACGAAACAACTGGTTAGTTATAAGTTGATAACAACTTATGGCAATGTAGCAACTAGACATTAAAAATATCAATTATTTTGTTAAACTCCTAGAATTACTATGTTTTGGTCCATTGACTTCTGTGACTACAAATATTCCTGTCTTCTTTCATAAAAACAACATTATTTCCTTAAACAACCAACTACTCCACAAAATTACTTCAACTGGAAGCTATAAAAATTATTTCATTGCTATTTTTTTCAACTTAAAGTTATGCAATTAGTAATTCATTCTCAACTTATTTTTATATTGCTATCTCTGTCTAATTAGGCACTCGCTGGTCTCGTAGAAATTCCAGCTATTGGAATAGCGATGTACATCATCATGAAAACGGGAAAGAAATGGCTTTTCTCAGCTACATTCTTTGCAACCGGAGTGTCATGTTTACTTGCTGCAATTATTGAAGGAAATGCCGGAATGTTGTGGCTTAAAATCACTTTTGTCATGATTGGTGGGTTAAATAATTTTATTTTGTGAAAATGTGGGATGAAAATTATATTTTTGAATCTAGGAAAATTCACGATAAGTGCTGGAAACACTATAATGCCAACTTACACAGCTGAATTATATCCAACGTCAATTAGAAACATCGGAGTTGGAGCATGTAATGTTGCTGCCGGCATGGCACTAATTCTCACACCAGCACTCTCGGAATTGGTATGATGAATGAACATTCTTAATATTTTAATTCAATTTACATCCTTAATTCAATTAACTTATACATACACGTCTCTGTCTCGTTTTGTAATACAGAACATAATTGGAGGTCACTGGTTGATGACTCTTTTAACTGCATGGAGTTGCTTCGGAGGATTTATCATTTTATTTTTACCAAACACCATCGAGAGAGCACCTCGACCATCAACGACGGATAGTGAGGAAAGATAAATAAATAAATAATTTTATTTTAAATGGACGAAACTTGAATGATTCAACTCCAATTAAAATTATGTAGTAAAAAGTCTTTTAAAACATCTTGATGTCGTCTCATAAAATAAACAAAAACAAAAAAATTCAATTTTATCTGGCAAAATCAAAACAAAAAGATGAAGAATATGAAAAAAAATTAAAAATAAAATTCAACGAAAAATTAAGAGTTGTCAATTAAATTAAGAAAAAAATTTAACAGACATTATTTTATAATATTTAAAAAAATTGAAATTGATTAATGTCCTATAAAAAAAATAGAAAATAGGTGAAAAGATAACTTTTCGGTGTTCATAAAGGAAAAATTGATAAGATATGGGAAATTCTATTTAAAAATTATTCTTCATATTCAACAAACATACTTCATGTGAAATGCTTTTTGTTAAAATTTAAGAAAAATAATCGTTGAAAGTCGATATTAGTAACTGTTAAATAAAAATTCATATTTAAGCGATTCATTTGGATCTGAATCAAAATTTTGTAGACATACTCGAGTATTTTGTGTCATAAAGTTTCATTATATTGTCAAACAACATTCAAATTTTATAAAAACGAAGTCCTTCACTTTTTATGAGAGAAAAGAAGGGTGAAGGATCATATACTACTGTTCATTGACATTTAGGAGATTACGAACAATTTGATAAGCGGCTCACTAGGTTGGAAATCTTAATTAATTACCCGGAAAGCACAAATCGGTTAATCGTTCCAAAAATTAGACGCAAGCCGGCGTGACCCAAGCGTGGAAGTGGATTTAAATCGTATCCAGCTACAACCATGCCGGCTTGGCATCCGATTTCTAATCAATTACATGACTTGTGCTATCATAGTTATTAAGGAGCTTTGGTTGTTGAAGAAACAACATATTTTGGATCATAACTATATCTTTATCTCCCCTCAACAGATAGAATAATCCCAATGATACATCACTATGACACTTTCATACTCGAGATAGCTTTAAAGCTTCTTTCAGTTTGGCATAAAATTAAAAGTAATAGAAACTGCACCTTTTTTGTTCATATGTCTAAATAGTGCATAATAAAATAGTCACAAAAGCTCAATCTGTAGACAGATAAACACATCGATGGTAGCACACACTGAAACTAATAAATATTTAGTGCATTTAATTTTTTTATCATTTACCATCAATTTTTTTGTAAACTTTTTAAACAGAAACTTTATTTGGCTGGTCCAAAACAAAGCGCATTAGCTAAATAGAATTGTATAATTTTCAACTGAGAGAAAAAAAAAAGTTTTTGTTGACAGATTTTTTTCAACACATCATTTTAAGTTAATTTGATTATTATTTGTGAATATATGTTTAAATGGACGATAATTTGTAGCTGATGGTTCAGTGTCATGTCTTATTTACTTTTTTAAAAGAAGATTGGAGTTTGTTATGTTATTGAAAGTTGAATTTAAATTGATAGAAATCATTAGAAAAGATGTATATAATTTTGAGGAACACTTCTACAGTAAGAGAAAATAAGAATTATTTGGTCAAACTTGGTCAAATTTAAACTTCATTTATTCGAAAATCTATATAAAAATATTAATTATATTCAACATTTTAAGACACACCATCTAGCCATGCTGCTTTAAAAACGAATTAATAATTATTGAATTAGCTTTATGTTCTTCCTCAAAACAAATAATTTATGCGAAAATTCACGTAGTTTTTGTTCAATTAATATTTTTTGAGAATCAAATTGTGTAATTAAACAGAATTAAAGTATGAAAATTAAAGGCATTGATTTTCTAATTAAAACAATTCAATAGCCATAAATAAATAAAGCACTGCAAAAAATATTTTTTTCTCTCAGTAAATATTTTTTAAGTTTATTACCGAACGTCATGAAATAGAAATAAAGTCATATGTTGCAAAAAAAAAATACCTACATTAATTTTCTTCTCTTTAAACACATAATAAAGTAGAAAAATGAAAATTATTTGCACCGCTGCTTTCAACAGTACTTAAATGAAATAGGAGAAGAAAAATTCGTAAATAGTAAAAAAGAAATATCAATCTGTTTTGTACTTAGGACAAAGTAATAAGCCATTCGTGTAGTAAAAAAAATAATAATGGAAATCAATATTACATCACTGCATTTACGAAGAAGTTATAAAATCGCTACACCAAATAAATCTCAAATTTTTTGCTTTATTCTTTGATTTGCCACAAAGTTGACATTCGGCTATATTTGGCGCATCCACTTCCGTTTCATCTGTTAAACAGATGTCATTGACGACTGACGAGGTTAATATTGAGTTACTTTTGCTTTTTTTTTGCATTCGATCATCGGCCAATGACACTGAACAGATGACGTAAAAACTTTTGCTAACCATCCATAAACGACATTGCCAGTAAACTGTTGATTTTAATAGCTGTGGGTGTCATAACTTAGCCGAATACATAAGATATAAATGTTGATAATATAGAAAATTATCAAATAATTTTAAAGAACGTTAGCGACATAGTCTATAAAACATAAAATAAGTTATATCAAAGAAGGAACTTCGAATTCATCATAAAATTTAATAATGTTAAGAGAAATAAAGAAAAAATTATAAATGTTGAGCAACAAAAAAAAAAAAATCATAAACGTTACATTTGGCAATATATTGATAAATGTTTAGAGCTGTTATGGCTAATACAAAAATATTTTTAAATGTCTATAAATAAAAGTACGTATATCAAAAACAAACAAAAAATGCGAGGAAAATTTACTTGTTTTCATTAAAAAATATTATTTTAAATTTGGAGCCGTTCACTTATCACATCTGAATAACATTTGTTCAGACCTTATCACAAAATATGTATGAAAAAAAAAAACTCTTTAAACCATCGCAAAATCTTAGAACCTTCTACAGTAAAATTCTCGATAACTAGTAACTTTAGAGCAGTGTTTCTCAACCTATGGTTCGCGGAGCTAAACTGTTCTGCGAGACAATCCTAAATTTGCACACAATGGTTGCCAGTGTGAAGCGAAAATGTAAACGGATTATTTATTGCTCTCCGATCTAAAAAGTTTGAGAAACACTGCTTTATGGAAATACGAGACTACTATCAACCTTCATATTATTTTCGTATTCATAATCTTTTCAATTTATTGATTATTTTACATCGTAGGATAAAGCACTGACCAGAAACAATACAAATCAATTTTGAATGCATACAAATTTTATTAAGTTGCATTGTAACGTTTAATTATGACGTCCAGGAAAGGAGATTGTGACTTTTTCTATTTTCTGTTGTCTTTTTTAACCTTCATGAACGTCATTTGTGTATGATCAGATAAAAGGGTTCTAGTTAAACTTCTAAGTCAACAATAAATTAGAGTTCATTTACTTATGCTATCTATTATCTTTGGTAAGAAGTCGATGTAGCGGCAAATTTAACAATGGGGGAATTAAGACCAATAGTCTCATTTTTAGATGCTCGTCGATAGTAAACAACTCTTTACTTTAGTTTTAGTGAAAATGGAAGCATAAATTTGTGTATACTTCAAAATTGGCAACATTTCCACTACAAACAATCACTAAAATGAGTAATTTTGAGTTTCAAACTCATGATCAGCATTTTAATTTTCTAACATTAAACTTTAAGCATCCGAGCTCCATTAACATACAAAAATGTGAAAGATAACACTTTAAATTAACAAATTAAATTCACTTTAAGTCAAATGCATGCACATGTCCATAGTTGAGGCACATTAAATGCAAATAAATTGAATTAAAAGTTAAGATATTTCAATAAACTTCGTAGATAAAATTCTGTAATATCAAATTTTCGTATAAATGGTTCGAATTCCTAATAAAATGCTGTTCATAGTCTAGATGTGTCGCAACGATATAAACTACTAACAAGATACTTATACCATAATTGTATTTTATTTCTCTCAATTAACCTGAAGTAGTGAGCAAATTCAGTATGAGTGGCGAGTCTCTCATGCGAGATATTAGAATCACGATATTAAGCTTTTGCACAAAAAAGGGATTTTAAAGATAATTAAAAGACATAGTTTGAATATTTAATTAAAATATTTTATGGAAAAACTAGCAAGTTTGAGTTTAAAATTGACAATTTGTGAGAAAAAAATAACAATTGTCAAAAAAAAACCTCAAAACCAAATTTATTTTCTACTTAGAAGCCAATTAGCATGACAAGAATGGAAAATGCGAATTTATTTAACAAGTCAATGAGCAGAAAATAAATAAATATATTGAACTTATCAACAGATGAAGGTTAGTTTCATAACTTCAAGTTGACGTCACGAAATTGAAAAAGAGATGAAAATAATAATAATATAAGGAAATCAATAAATTAAATAGGAAATAGCATAAATTTGTAATAACATAAATCAATATCAATCTCAACCGCAATCCTTTTTTTCCACTTCATAATGCTATTATGAGAATGTGCACAGTAAAAGTGAGAAAAAAGCTCACCGCTCGCTCACTTAAAACTTTTTATTTCACATGTGAATATACATACAAACATTGCGATGCCTTTTTTTTATAATACTCGTGTATCTAGCAATAACTCTATCCGTTCACATACTTAGCGGCAGTAGTGAAGTTGAAACTTATAAAAAATAATATTATATTAATTTGTCGATATGAGGCAAGACTAATACAAAGCAACATTAAGCTTCAATAAAATATTAAAGAAAATTTGTTCGACTATTCAGTTGTAATTTTAAAGCTCACGATGGAGGATGAAAATCGGAATAAAATAAATGAAAATGAAAAACCAAGATTTTCATTGGAAATAAATAATTTAAAATCGTTTGAGACGCCGAGTATTTTTACAATAAATGGAAATAATAACCTCAATAGTCGTGTCGAGTTAGTGACGATGGGAAATGATAACGATGAAAGCGGTGATAGTGATGTGATATCTGATTTAATAGGGCACATTGGCCCATGGCAATTATTTTGGGCCGTCATCATGTGTCTATATCAATTTCCCACCACGTTTCACATTTTTTGTTTAGTTTTTCAAGTAAGTTTCACAAGTGTTATTAAAATTATTTGAAGTACATTATGGAAAAAGAATGAAAAAATTATATCAGTGGCCTTCTTTGTTATACATCCACTTAAGCACTAATTGTTCGTTTTATGATTTCGAAAAATAAACATAATAATTATGATTATGATTTAGAAAAATACAAAACGTGACAAATGTTTATATTTCTAGAATTTTTGAGCGTGTTGAGAAAAGAATAGAAAATTTTGCTAGTTAATTCTTTATTAAAATGTGTGTCATTATAATCTTATCAACAAGCTTTTCACGGTAATTACAGGTATTAAGTTGCAGTTTAACAATGTAAACAGCAAAAATGATGTAAACTGTGGAAATGCTTTTTTTTAAATTCACAAATGTGAAAATGGAAGTTATAATTAATTTGTCGGATGCTTTTTTGACAGCAAATCCGCTTGAAAATTTTTATTTCAATTTTTTTAAAGAGTTTATTGCACTTTTGGATTGCTTAAATACAAAATTATGACATGCAAAAAATTTAAATATTAAATTCTGATTGAATATTAAATAGATGATAATCGTTAAATTTTAATATCACAATCAAAACAAGTCTAATAGTTCTGCATTATGTAGATTGTAATGAGATACTAGCCAGACGCTTGCATGTCTTTTATTAATTTTTAATTGTTCATTTGTCGCCTTAAATCAATCATTGCTAAATGAAATTTATCAAAAATCGCAACACACCTGTCCAACTATTTGTTTTGAATACTTCTTAAACTACAAGAAGAAATTTTTATTTTAATTGGTTTAGACATGCTAAGACAAATACGCATGTGACTGCACGAACCATTTTTTGAAATTAAAACGAATGTTTGGAATTTAGGAATTCAACTAAATGAGTCGTGTGTTATCTCATGATCTCATTAACTGTAGTATAACTGTCAAAAATCAAAGTTCTGATTTTTTTACTTCATTTTCTTAATCTTTAAAGTTTCATTTCTTATTATGTCTCGTCATTGTCAGTCATCTCCACGTATTACTTTTTATAAAAAAAAATTATTATTTTTTTAAAAAAACGTTAGATTAATAAATTTGACAATCAGTAAAAGCTTATGTTTCATCAAGACTGAATCAAGGAATACAATAAAGAATTTAAGCATTAGGTAGAGTCTTTAAGATCACAAGAAAGTGAAAATGCACAAAGATAAACCTTTTATTGCTAAGTTAACGTTATAGAAATACAAAAAGAAATAAAAACCGTTTTAATCCTTATTTATCTGCAAGTAAGGAAAGACTTGTTTTCAATTGAATGTTTTATATTAATCTACATATTGACACAAGGTTGTTGTCGTTTTGAAGAAATAACAGAATGTTTTTTAATTCTGAGTCATCTTAAAATTTGAAGAAATTATTTTCATGAATTTAATTTTATTCAATAGTAATACATAATCAATAGTAATGTCATAGATAACATGAGTAACATGGTGTCATATATAGACAAATCTAACATAAATATAAAAAAGCCTGAATGGACGAATGGTTTGGAAGCAAACATGACTTCAATAAACCTTCAGTGAGGACGTGGGTTCAATTCCCATAAAGAAACCAAACTTTTCAACTGCTGACGTAAATTTTTTTTCAACATTTCAATAATGAAGTCTTGGTCAAGAAGAGAATTAGTAATACATTTCCCACATTTCTCAAAATGAATATGATGGTTTTTTGAAAAAAGTTATAAAACCAAACAAATCAAAAATTGAGTAAATCTATTCTTAATTTATTATTTCAAAACCCAGTGACTCTTAAATCAGATAATAATTTTATAACAACTCTAGTTTGCATAAATAACAAATAAGAAACCATAAACTTTTCTGCAGAATGGATTGTGCATTATGGAATTTTTTTTAAAAATAAATCGAAAGCTTTACTTGAGTAAACTGCACAATAATATTATATCGAATTTTTAGATGGATGTAATAAATTAATATTTCATTGAACTCCGAATGCAATTACAAAGCATTCAGTAAATTTAAATAAAGATTTAAATCAGTAATAATTTAAATAGTTCTTGATCTAATTTTAATGCTGCAAAATCTGCTTTAGACCATTTAAAGCTTTACTTTTTAAAAACCGCCAATGCAATTGCCACAGTTTAGTGTTTTTTTTTCTTACAAATCATCGCAGTCGAAAAGAGGCAAACCAAAGCCAATGTCGATAAGGTCAAGTAATTTAGCACTATGCTTACTTTCGCTAAAAATAACCTTGCCAAAAATGTGTTAATTCTGTTTCTATTTCTTAATTGTTTCGTATAAAATATTGATATATGCGAGTAATTAAGAACTATACATCACATTACTTTATTAAAGTAATTATAATTTGCATATTCAACAATGACAGTGCATTAATCCAAATTCAAAATAGTTGATTGAATATGATGCAATTCTCAATCGTCATTTCTTTATGAGAAAATATCATAAACTGGGGCTTGAAAAACCTAATAAAAATTAATGTACTGAACGCATAGCGAATGCAATAATAACAAGTAATGTAAATATTCATATTTCTTGCTTAATTTCGATTTCACACTTTAATTACGATTCCGTAAATCTAGAATATCCCAATAATTATTATACTAAATTGAATTAAGTGCGCATAAAAGATTCATTTTAGAAAAAAAAATATCAAACATACAATATTGTAGCGAAAAAAATACCAGAGCAGATCTAAGTCTACTCAATCATTCCTCTCCGACTAAGCAAACATAAAAAAAAATGTTGATTGGATAAAGACAGGAAGTAGTTCGAGTAGTGTCAAGGCAAATTGCTTTAAATTAGGAAAATTCATTTATGATAATGAGATTATGAACTCAAATCTTCACCTAAATAGAGATAGAGGAACGTAACGAATGTGTACATACAATATGCTATCCCACAATCGTTCTAAACTGACCTATCATAATTTTGCGCGCAAAATATAATTTTTTCGTATGAGTACAATTACTTACTGTAATTTAGAAAGTGTAAGTTTGCACATGTTACCGGCGAATAGTTGCATAGCTAAGTTTAGAAGAAAAAGTGCCGCTGTTACTGTTTAACTGTAAATGTGATCTTGAAATACTGGAAATTGTATACATTTTTTTTTTAAATTTGAAGGTCACGAATGGACGTAAAATAACTTATAGTAAATGCTTACGCGTCTGTGTCTTTTAATTTAATTTACAATCTTTACTTAATTTTTATCACAAACAATCTTCATTAATAATTATTGTGTGTTTCCTATATTTAAATGAATTACAAGTTTTAAACAAGTAAGAGTCACTTTTTGTATATTAAACGAGACGTTAAGCTAAAACATTTATTTTATTATGTGCAATGAAGTGATCGGCTGAGAAATAAAGCAACTTGTCATCAAGTGAATTATGTCTTACAAAATTCTAAGCAATAAGCATTAGCTCTGTATTCAAAGCTTTTTGTCGATTTGTAGGCATATTGTAGTTGCATTTTAGATTTCCATATTTCCATCAAATTAATTCAAAGGTTTAGCCACTTATAGAAAAATTCAGACAAATAATAATATTGAAAAAAAATAACGTGATATATATTCATAAAAGTAATTGGTTTCTAAACCTTAATAACACTATTACCATACATGTTCCCTTTCAATTCAGTTGTCATTTGTTGATTCAAATGTTTTGTGTTCTTTGTTAATCTATTGAAAAATGATTAATCTACAATTTAAGAATTTTAAATGCTGACGGCATAAATACATAAGCAAATAAGTAATTATGATGGCAAGTTTCTCAATTTTATTCAAATTGATCGTCTTTTTTGCATATGAAAAGATTGCTGTTGAAACAAAGCACAGAATAAGCAAATATATACCGAAAGGATATTTCAATTTTAGCTGTTTATCCAAATCATAAAACATTCTAAAATCCCAAGTTGATTTAAGTGTTGGCTGGATTTCGAAACTAAGCACAAGCATTCCCATTTTTTTTGTAGGATAGTTGTTTGTTTTGACTATGGAGGTCAATTAGCGAATAAACCAAAATATGCCAAATCAAGCTGAGATTTTTTTTTCTAATTTAAATTTTTAAAGTTAATTGAAAGCTAGGACTCTTCAAAATGTTCATATTTGTGCTTCTCAATAGAATTTAACAATTTTTTTACCTAAAAAATTCAAATTTAGGTTATGGATCATAAATTGCATAAAATTTGATTTCATAATTCACATTTTTCAGTTTTGAAAACATTGTATTTTAACGAACAGCGTCAATAATTAGAATGAACAATAAATTACGTAGTCAACAATCCCAAACATCACGACTTTTTATTTTAAAAGCTAAATTTAATTACCATTGCTGCTTATAAGTTCTTATTGAGCTTGCTAGAGAAGCTAATCTTCAATCTTGAACTGATTTATGTCTGAAAATACCCAAATTAACTGCTCCACACCCATTCGGTAATTAATATTTTGTGGCTTATAAGCAAGAGCTTTCAAATTCAATTTGCATTCAAGCATCTTTTAATTAAAAATTTGATTCCGAACAATTGTGGTTTAAAGTTTTAATATTATCTACACAGATGCCATGTACCATGTAGAGATCAATATTAATCCTTATATGGCAGTTCATTATAGAATTCTAAAGAAAAAGCTTTAAATCCTTTCGAAGAACTTTAATTTCTAATTATGAACAAAGTGTCAGAACACAATGAGGGTGATTTTGTGTTTAAAAAAAAAATAACAACTTAATTTCCATTAACCCGCAAATGTAGTTGGAAAATTTGCTTTGTTTCCCGCGTGCAATAAACTTAGAGTCATTCATCATTCTGTCTATACGTCGTCTAAGTAACATAATTTATTGTACAAATATCTCAGAGTAGAACAAAAAAAAAGAAATATTTGTTTCAGTTGTTCTTAATAGCAAATAGCTCAGATACTTCCTAAGTCACTTGTTCGCTTACTTATTAAATAAATAAGAGTCAATTTATGCGATATATAGTAAATGATTAAAATTATGTGTCACCTATCTATCTACTCATTCCTCAGACTTGTTGACGTTAATTTGTTATTCTAGCATAAATCTAATATATCTAAACACAATATTTATGTATCGGCGCAACAAGTGCTGTTAATATTGTGTGCAAAATTAATTGCATGTGATGAAAAAAGTTCATTAGCAGCACGGAAAAAAAAGTAAGAAGAAATAACTATGGTCCTTGAGAGTAATTTAAGACAAACTTTTACATGTCAATGAATGTGAGAGTGTAAACAACCTTAAAGAGTGCGCTGCGAAGAGAAAAGCATTGAGGCTTTATCTCGTTCGCGAATTTTAGACTTGTTATAAAATAAGTAATAAATTTAATACGATAGTCATCTCTAGAGGCCAAATTCCATTTTCTATTCTTTCCTCATTGCACAAATATAGGCTGCGTCAAAAGATTACTGGTGTTCACGACCCGATCATTTGAAAATGATATCAGTAGAGGTATGGAAGAATTTAACACAGCCCGTAAATCAATGTTCGATGGTTAATGCTCCATACGATGATCTCGATGCCTTTAACATTACAAATTACTTACATAATGCAAATACATCAAATCTCATACCATGTAACTCATGGGAATTTGATATGAGTATTATTGGAAAGACAATTATATCCGAATGGGGAATGGTGTGTGATAAGGGATATTTATCAAGTGTTGTTGAGTCATGCTTTTTAGCAGGTAATATATTTAATTGCTAATTTTGAATGCCAAGAAGTTAATGAGAAATTTTAAACACAGGCGCTGGTCTTGGGTCAGTTACAAGTGGATGGATAAGTGATCAGTATGGAAGAAAACATACTCTCATGGTCTTTGCAACAATTCAACTTGTTACAGGTATGAAGTGCTAAACAATTAGAAGATATGAATAATTCAAGCGCCCTTAAATGCTGTTAAAATAAATATTGATGATTATCTATGCTCAATACCTCAAAAAATGCTTGGCATTCACTTCCACACATGTCATTATAAACAATGTTTTTTAATAAGCCTCATGACAAAGCCAATTAGAACACCTTTTGTTATGAATTGAAAATTTTTCTCACAACAATTGAATAAATAAAAATATCGACATCAAATGACGCGTCACCAAAATCGTTCAACGTTTTATTAAAAATATGTGGAAATAGGTTTAAAGAATTTTTCATTAATTATTACGTCGTTGAAAATATAATTTGATAATTTAAATGTAAAATTAATTTTTGCATCAAATTTATACTTAATGTGAAGCATTTAATTCTTACGTAAATAAATATTTAACGTTTTATCATCTCATAAGCTACTCTATTTCCTCATTTATATATTATCAGATAGAAAAGTTTTGATTAGTTCCATTGACTTATTTATTATTGAGTTAAAGTTTCTTTGCTGAACTTTATCGACCTCTTCAGCATAAGCACTTTCTTTCTATCATTTACTCATAGTATTATGTGGATACAGAGTAAGGGAATCATTTTATTATTGATTTTCAATTCATTTCTCTGCTTGCTACTTAATAATATAATGGATTGAATGATATCCAACTCTGCAATGGAAGGATAATAATCTTTTATGTGATTATATTGATGATGTATCGAGGAACTAGCGTATCCACATTGAAATTCTTATGAATCGAAGCTTTTGTTTTATTTTAACGGAATTTACTGGATGATGGTGAATGATGCAAAATAAAAACAAACTTTTTACTGTTCTAATGCAGTGTTTCTCAAACTTTTTGGTCAACGGCACACTTTTCTAATTAAAAATTTTTGGGACCTCCTGAATAGCCTAGCTTAATGATTTTCGTGAGCTTTTTGAAGTCATAAAACATGAAAACATAAGGACACTTTGAGCCTAGTGGCATACTAGTCTTCCTCAACAGACAGTTTGAGAAACACTGTTCTAATGATTGAAAATCACATCAACTGTTGATAATTAAATCAATTGCTACAAGAATTCACCAGTAACCCGGAAAGCTTAATACCAAATAACTGAATCCCTAAACAATGAACGAACTAAAGAACTTTTACCTTTGTTATTCAATCATTTATTATCCATTTATCCAGAACTTTAGATAATGTTATTATCATAGATTGTTTTTTCCTCAGAAATCTTTTTAATTTATTGAGCATACAGCATCAATTTAACTTCTCAGTTTGAAGTTCTTTAATTTCAATTAAATCACATATTTTTTCTCATTACAAACTATCTAGGAACACTCTTGGGATTTTGTGAATCCATGGAAATGTATATGATTGGACGAGTAATTATCGGATTTGCGAGTATGGCCGTTGTTGTTGTTTCGTTTGTTTTATGTGTTGAACTTGTGAGCGGAAAATGGAGAACAATTATAGGAATTCTGAATATACTTCCGGTAGCAATGTACGAAAAAGTTGCAAAAAGTTTATCAAAAGCAATTAATAATCAATAAATTTATGATTTCACAGAGCTTATATCATGTGCGCATTCATCTCATATATCACATACAATTGGCGTGCAATGCAATTTGTGGTAACATCTCCAACTTTATTCCTTTTAATGTTATGGCCAGTTGTTCCTGAGTCGCCTAGGTAATTTCTAATTAAGTTTTATAAGTAGCAACTAATTGATTGTTATTAATTTAGATGGCTTCTCTCACGTGGACGATCCAGTGAATTATCAGAAATGATTAAGAAGGCAGGCGAATGGAATGGAATTTCACTCCCAGTAAATTTAGAGAAAATGTTATCATCATCATCAGATTCAGGTCCACGCATTAGAGTATCATTTTTCGACTTGTTCCAAAAAGGATATAAACGGACAACAGCATTAATGGCAGTCGTTTGGTTTTGCATTATTCTCCTTTATTTTGGAATTACGTTGCACATGGGATCACTCGGTGGAGATATTTATTTAAATACAGTAAGAAAATCTTTGATTTAATTGAAATAATTTGATTATTAATTGATGTTTAATTTTTTTAATTAAGATAATCGCTGGAACAGTTGAAGCATTCAGCATAGCTGCTAGTGTTTTGGTAGTACTTAAGTTAGGTTTACGTATAAATTTAGTTATTTATCTAATTGTTGCTGGCATCGCCTGTACATTAATTAATTACGTCCGTGCTGATAACTTATGGCTTACAATTACATTAGCAATGATTGGTAAGGCTTTGTCATGAAAGCTATAATTTTTTTTATTTTAGATATAATTGTAAGTAAGTTCTCATTTTTCCGTAGTTAAAATTAGTGTCGGAGCATCAAATGCTTTAATACCCACGTATACTGCTTATCATTATCCAGGTATGTTTTTTTTCTGCACAACAGATGTTAACATTTACATTCTATTTGAAGCATTTTCATTGCCAATTATTAAGCAAAGTGCAATGACATGAACAAAGTTTTGTTAATTTGTTTTAGAAGTTTGATATATGATCAAGTAATTAACGCCAAACAAAAGTTTATTTCCTATACAAAAACACTTATTTATTCTTACTTTTTCCACATAAATATTAAGCTAGAGGCATGGAAACAGAATAATTTAAGCTATAATTTGTCGTCTAGCATCATTTGAATTATCCAGATAAATCTTAAAACGATTAATTCAACCATATTTAACATTTAAAGAAACAATGACTTTCATGAGAAACGTGACGGAAAAAATAGATTTTCTTTAATATACATAACAATTATTTGCTAGTAATACAAAACAGCTGATTAGCTAGTAAATAAGCTTTAGTATTTCTCTTTCATCTGGTTATTCTAAGTAGATTTACAGTTTAGTATGCCGACTCATAAAGCCTTACTTATAAACATTGAAAGTGATTCCGGACAAATTATCGAACCAAGTCACGCTTTGAGTTTTGTTTCCATATTAGCTGATGGATTTCATATCCTGTATTAGTGCCAAAGCTTGGCTGTATGGTATTTTGTTGATTTTCGAAGAGTTATGTTAAGCCAACTTTGGCCAGATTGAATAAGACGAAGTTGTACTGATGGTTAAACAGGGTTAAACATAAGATCACATTTAGAGGAAGCTTTCAGCTTTCCTAATCCTTCTTAGTCTCTTAAATTAAGACCAGGAGCAGCAAAAGAGCTATCGACCCTATCTTTAATAGATTATTGAACGTTTCATTTTGATCACTTTATCACTTCAAATCTCAATCAAACTATCTTAACAAATGGCATTCGTAAAATATTTCGTCTATCCTACACATATAAATCCGTTAATATAATTAATATTTCTCGCCCATTTCAATAGTTTACATGAGAAATCTTGGCATCGGTGCGGGAAACTTGAGTGCTGGTTTCGCTCTAGTTTTAGTTCCATATTTATTCTTGTTGGTAAGTTTACAAAGTCATTAATCGATATATTACATATTACGTATATTGGCAGATGTAATTAAGTTAAACGAGTCGTAATGAATAAGAGTTTTCCACTTTACGGTGAAAAAAGTTTCTTATATCACACAACTCTACATGTATAGTGAAAATGAGAATTTCTCGCTCATCTGTATCATCTTCTTCATTAACTTTTCTTTTTCTACTTCTTCTATTTTTCGATTATCCACAACCACAAACACGTAAAATAATATAGGAGCATATCGATGTACATTATCCAATGTATATAATGGGTATAGCAGGAATAATTGGAGCTATTTCATTACTTTTTATTAAAGAAAAGTCATCGACAATGAAAAAGTGAGGATATTAAGCATATAATGAGAAAATATAATTTCAACAACTCACGATATATTGAAGTTGAGTGTGTCTAACATGTTGCCTATAATTTCAGGGTAAACAGTCAAGCAGCAGAAATCAATAGTGCATATGTATCGGAATGAATGCCGGCAATTGAGCAGTTAAGATGTTAAAGAAGAAGAACTGTCATGAAATGATGAAGTCTGTGACAAATATGAAGTACACATACAATCGATGAATTTATTCAAATTACTTAATAACTAATTAATTATATATTGTAGATGATTTTACTTATTTTAGATACTATTGTACTAGATTTTTGTTAATCATATTGTGATAATTTCAATAGAATTTATTATAATCATAAGATGTAAATTTTATTAAATTTTGAGAGAAATAAAAAAATTAGTTTTTAATTGAAGATAATTTCAAACTTGATTTCGATTTCTTTAATTGTGTGTCTGATTTCACATACCGCCTATCCTTGCTCTACCTAACAATACATGGTTAAAAAAAAGCAAATTGTTTATTTCTCTTTAAAATTATCCATTCAACTTACTGCAAAAAAAAACAATTTCTGATAAATTTTTATTAAGAGAACCAACTATGAGGCACTTTGAAGCATTGGCGTAGTGGGGGCAGACGGTATAAAATAAAAAATAAAATCATGCTAGGTGCTTTTAAAAACCTGAATCATAATATTGCTCTCTAGTTGTCGACAATTACTGTAGCTGTTCAGTTCAGTTTGATTATTTTTTATATTTTTTTATTTTCGTTCAATAAATTGACTTTTTATTTACGCAAATATATCTCATTGTTGTGTGATTAAGTTGACTCTAACTCTAATTAGTTTGTGAAGTGAAAAGTGAAATTTATTTTTTGTATTGTTAATCTTAGAAAAAAAAATCATTTCTATTTTTAATTACATAGAAAAAATGAAGATTTTTATAGTGCTTGTAAGTTTTAATGAAGATAAAATATTAACTATTATTTATAAGATATGCATCAAGAAAAAGCTGTTTGCAACAATTTTAATTTGTTAACGATTTGTTCTCTTTCTTTCATACGTGAGAGATAATTTAAGTGCCTCAATCAAGGTCTTATTTTACTTTCAATTCCTTCCATAAATAAATATTTTCTACGTCAATTAATTTTATAAATTTGTCAAAGTAAGTCATGAATGTAGGGCTGGTTCTTACGAGAATTTAAATGCTGGTGGCCGTGTGACATAAAGCTCTCCTCTTTAATCATTACAAGGCCAATGAAAAGTGAATAAATTATATCATAACGACTGTGATTATCAATATCATAAACTTGTAAATTTTCGAAATTACACAGCTTATAACCTTTCAATATCTTACAGCATTTTCTGTAACATGGCATTTTACGTACTTGCTGCTCTATCATTTTGGATGTCAAAACAAAAAGAAAAAAGATTAAAAATTTTAATACGATATGTAGTTTGAGCTAATCGATGATGTAATTGAAATGGGAAAAAAAAATTATTATTAATATCGATTGGAATTGAAAAGTCAGTTCCTCCTCCTAGTTTAAAAGTATTTAAAGAAAATATTTACAGTCAATGCGGATGATTAAGTTATGATGTTTATGAATCTTTAGAATTTATTCAATTTAACTGAAGTTATGACTTTTTAAAGGAAAAATTGTTAAAAATTATTCCGGTCAAAGAGTTTGCAAAATGAATCAGAAATGGTTTAGAAATTGAATGCTTTTTGTTGGAGTTTTAGATTGTCAGTGAAATTATCCTTTTTGTAGAAGATTATCATATTCAGGAGAATAGAGCACTCAACAATTTAATTCTACAGCAATCTCAAAATATCTCTAGGGTTATCAGAATTTTTAGAATCTTCTCCAATTTAAATGTTGGACAACATAAGAAGGCTAACAACTGAGTATCAAAAATTGAGACTTTTTTGTCCAAATCTCGTTCAAGGCAAAGTCGAGATAAAACTTAAAATAAAATCAATCAAATTAATTATTTAAATCTTGATTGGCTTATTAATTTTGATACTACTTAAATGAGGTCATGAAGCAAAAGATTAAGTGTCCAAATTTTAACTGATTTTAAATAAATGCAAAATGTTTACAACGAACAACCTGTCAAGAAAAGTCGATTATTCAAAGTTTTAAAATCCAAAGTAAACTATTTCTATTTCTGTTTCAAGTTTAAGTTCAAAAACTTACAAACTATAAATAAAAATATAATCAATAGCAATTTTCAATGGCTTCTAAAGTCTATCCAGAGAAAGTGACAAATTGTCAAGCTTCCGATTAAACATTTAATTGGATTGGAAAGACGAAATCATTTAACCATGCATAAAAGTACTCAATTAACAAATATTTGTAATTAGATAATCAATATTACATGTGCCCCTGTAAGTGGCTACTCTAAATGTCTCACAAAATAGCATGACAATGTATCTAATAAATTTTGAATTTACCAGTTGATTACACTTTTCATTAAACGGAATTAATATCCATTTATGTCCCTACCAAATCGTCCATAAAATGCGCTATTCTGTTGATAATTTTCTTCTGCCAACTTGTTTATGTGCAGATCAGTTTTTTATTATTATTATTTAATTCTCCTCTATGCTGCTCTCACATTTCATTTCATACTGCATATTATACATGTAACCAAAATAAAATTTAATATAATATTAAATGTGTTATTTACGTACATAACCGAGTAGTAAATATCTTTATGCCAGTCCTCCAGCATACATACAATGAGATTGGAATGAACAAGCCTCAAATTTGACTTGTGATACAATTTTTAAAACTCTCTTATATTGATTATATAATCGCAAATAATGCCATTGTTTCGTTTCGTTTCTTTTTTTTTTGTAGTTTTTTTGAAGAAACGAAATTGATTTTTTTTTTTTTGCCATGTTATTAAGAGCTTTTGTGCTCATAAGCATACACACTTATTAATCAATTACTTCGGATGTGAATTTCCAATCATTTACGCATTAATTATAATTAAATGGTTAAATGAGTTCAACTTCAAAAATCAATTATTTGCTTTTTAAGCTCAATGAACTTGCACTTTTACTCGCTGCTAATTATACAATTCGGATAGAAAATTGAAAAGTTTATTGATAGATTTAATTGTCAATTAGTCGAATAATTTTTTGACTTCCGCCACTTTCTGCTCATCTTCATTTCCATTTAGTTGGTGTGATGAATATTTCATGTTATTCTTCACGCTGACTGAACTTTTTAGATTTTAAAGGCACGTAATTGTGAAAAATTTCTCTTTAGACGCTTCTCACATTGAATATTACATTAGTGCATTATGCATCTCACGTCAATGACTTGATATTTTTCGTGAATATATTGAAATATATTTTTCTCGACTTCAAAATGTCAAGCTGAAGAGAAAAGAAACTTTACAATTTTTTTTTTCGCAAAAACTATAAAATTATCAGCAAGAAGAAACGAGAAAATAAAAATAAAAAAATTTACATAAAAAAACACAACTATTCAAAATAGGGGTTCCAGAATTTCCGTTCCCGTAAGATATCGGGAATCGGGAACGGAAATATTCCCGGGAATCAACAAAAAAAAAAGTTAAAAGCTACACTTACACCATGTATTTTATTTAGGTTTTTAAATCAAATTTAAATTCTATTTGATTTGATTGTCAAATTGATTCTTTTGACAATAATTTCCGTTTGAAATTCAATTCTTTTTGGTTTTAGAACAATTCTTAAAGTACGATTTTAACTGGTCTAGCAATCTACTGCGATTTTTTGAGACAATATTATTGAGACAACTTGTATCAAATATTCATACTATGTACTTCCTTGTGTGTGAACGATGAGTAATTGTTCAAATGTGAAGAAAATAACACAACATATGAAATGTTTTATGATGGCTATAAGTGCTGCTTCTTAAAGAACCTAAAATATACGGCAATTTTAAAAACGAATTAGTAAAATAAAAATAAATTTAATTCTTAATTAAGAATTGCTGTTTAAATTAAAGTTTCATGATATCAAATTCACTTTCTCTGATGGAAATTAGTCAGAAAAACTTTCAAAAAGGCTCACGTAAAGCCTACGTTACGTAAAATGATTAAGTAAAATCACACAACATTAAGTTCTACGTTGCGTTTGCTCTTTCTCGATGTAAATTAAAGATGGAAGTCGATGGACAGGTAAGAGAGAAGCTGATGCAAGATAAAGGAGGGATTAAACTGAGAAAGCAAATTTTTTGATGGTTCTTCTTTCATAGTTAATCATATCAAGTTTAATTTCAACCAAGGAAATGAATCAATCGTGTTTTCATTCCATTACTGCTCACATTTCAGGCTTTGAATCAGAACAGTCCGAGATAGAGGCAAAAACGTTCTTTACCACACACCTGAGCATGAAAAAGAACCACAATTTAGGGTTAGGGTTAGACGCTTGTAATTAAGCTTCTATTGATTACAACCCAAATCATCAGAGGCTCATTTTTCACATTAAACTACACGATACGTCATTGGACCTGATGTAAGTCTAATGCTGTGTGTGAGAACAGGCATCTAGACAAAAAATTGCAAGTCTCTTTTACGAGCAAGCAATCAATGTCCTTGATGCCACTCTACATCAAGGATGAACCAATCAATAGCCACGATAGCAAGTCTCACAGGCAGAAACACATGACTCATAAGCTCGATTTACAAAAAAAAAACAAGAACAGAAAAACTTTTTAAAAAAAGGTTCAAAAGACTTTGCTCCCTCAAGTTTTACCCCTCCTCATCTTGCATCGACCCCCCTCTGACCTATTCAACGACTCCCACTCTTAATTTACATCAGCAAAGGCTGACGAAATGTAAAACTCAATGCAATGCGTTTTTAAGTAATCATTTCACGTATTGCAAGCATTACGTACGCAATTGCAGGAAGTCAAATGGCTGGTTTCATTAAAGAAAAGGAATTTGAAAATCTTAATGTGTTTCAGATGACGTAGATCAGTATACTTAGCTTTTTCTTCGTTGTCACTAGCCTCTTGCTTCTTTAATTGTGTCCTGGTTCCTTCAAGCTTCATCAATCTCACTTTCACTTCAATTTTACAGCTTCTTGAATTTAATTTTCTTAACTTTCAATGTTCACTCAGAAATTTTTTCATTTTTTTCTTCACTTTTAATTTTTTCATCACTTTTGGCTTATTTTCACTGTTGTTTCCATTTTAGCACTTCACTTTAACTTTTACTTATCACTTCTTTTTAAGCATTAATAATGTCAAGTTCCAATTTATTTGCACCGATTTGCAACAATATTTAAAAACATGTCTTTAAAGAATTACACCGAAGAAAATTGTGAAAAAAATCGGTAAACATTTGTAGAATGTTTCCCGTTCCCGGGAATTCCCGATTTTAGAACCCCCAATTCAAAGTCCATTCGAATTTATTGTTGCTATTATTATGGAAGTGAGAAAATTCATTCAAATGTAAACTTTTAATTTGAAATTGCAAGAGAGAAACTTGTTTTTATTTTAGTAGTTTAATGCTGCATGGAGGGAAATTGGATATGCATAAAGTAAGATGCACGACTGAAAAGAGCAAAAAGACCTTGAAATCGTCACCACATTGCAGTTCTTGCGTGTCTTACCCACATTTTCCCATTATCATTTATTTCTTATATTCTCATTTGCACCATGAATTTACTGTGTGTGTTACCAAATGTCAGGAGTGTAGCTTGAGTTCGGTTTTTTTTGAGCATGCTCTAATAAATGTTGAACCTTTACACTCTTGAGCTACTATTCTTTTTCAAACCCAAACGTTGAAAAACCACTCCTGCCTCATAAAGCTAATAAGATTTATATTTTTATTACATTAGCTATGCTGTATATCAACGGCATTATCGCAATATGACGGCCCAGCACCACCTCGCATTAATATCCCAGGCGCTATTCCATTACCATCAATTAGATTAGGTAATCAGCAACAACAAGGTAGAGCAGTTCCAACACAAATTCGTGTAAGAAAGCCAAACGCAAGACCTCAACAATTCGAGCAACGTTTCCAAGACGAAGCAAAACCAGTTATTGAAGAGCCAGAGGACGAATATGTTCCTTCACATCCATCTCCACCATCTCCACCAAGAGCTTTGTTCACATCAGAACCACAGGATGTTGACATTCAATCAAATGCTCAAAGATTTAATGTTGATAGACCAAAGCCAGTGCAGCAACAACAACCACAACGTAATTTGCCACAGCAAGTCCAACAAAAGCCACGTGCACAACATTTTGAGGATCAAAGACCACATCAAAAGGCACATCAGCATGACGATAAGCCAAAGAAGCCAGTCGCTCAAATTTTGAGAAAATACCGAGAAGAACATCCAGATGGTTCTATTACGTAAGCATATTTATACTTTTTTTAAATTCGCAATAAGGAAATACTAATTGGGGATCTTCTTCTTAACAGATGGGGCTTCGAGAATGATGATGGTAAGTCTATCAATCATTCAATCATAATTTTAACTAGAATCTCAACCACGAAAATCTATTTATAGGCAGCTTCAAAGAAGAAACTATTGGAATTGATTGCATAACCCGCGGAATTTACGGTTACATTGGTAAAAATATATTTAATTCCGAATTCATTTGCATAAATACGATTATGCATTTATATTATGTTATTTTTAGATCCTGATGGTGAGAAACGTGAATACAAATACGAAACAGGAATTTTATGTAAGTTAAAATAACTTTAATTGATTCAATTGATAGTTGGTCTTGATTAATTGCATGCGACATGGCGGAAGAAAAAAGTATTAGAAACTTTTGGGATTAGTGGGGATTAAGCAATGAAAGTTGAATTTAATGATTTTTTTTGGAACCGGTAACCTTAAAAATATAAGTTTGATAAATTCTAACTTCTTACTACAGTTTCAATTTGCATTCATCAACCAACTGCAAATTTGGTTCTTACAATGTTTTAAAAAAAATGTCAATTCGCCAAAAACACAGTCTCGACAAGTCGTTAACATTGTTGTAGTCTGGAAATTAAATTGGCTGATGTTCAATAAAACAGCTTACGACGATATAATCTAAATCTCATATTAAAACCACTAATTCACGATTAAATCAGTATTATTTTGTGGAAGCATTCCAACATGTGTTTTAATTAAAATGCAGTTCAGAATTTAAAAGGTTTTAATGAGTCGGGGAGGAATTTTTTGAGGTTGTGGAGAGTAAATTATTTGGTGATTAATTAAATTTGAATTGAAGGAAATCAATTATGGTTTTAAAGTAAGTTCCTGGTTGTCATATTGAGTTAGAAATGTTGGAATTCGAGAAATTGGTTCAATCTCAAACTTATCTTCATGAATTTTGGTCAATAGAATTTTAATAATTTAAATGTTGTTTCAAACTTACTTGAACTTGATGACTACAGCAAATCCATAAAAATGCAGCATAACTTTACTAATAAATCATTTCATTCGCAGGCGATCCTGACAAGCGTGACCAAGACGAAGAAGACTTGGAAGATGAAGAGGTTTTGGCTAATTTGAAGTCCCAACAATCAAAAAGACCTCAAAATCAGCAGCAACAACAATACTATAGAAATTAAGAGTGTCATCATTAATTAGAAGGAAGTGGAAAGAAATTTAATTAAAATTTAATTTCAAATGAATAAGACTTAAAAAATTAAGAAGATAAAAATACTTAAATAAAATCTTTTTGCATAAAATTCACAAAAATACTTTATTTTCTTTGATCAATGATTTTTTTTTCTCACTTTCTTTGTTTTTCAGTTTTTCAATGGAACTAAAAATTATATTTAATTATAATGCATTATGGGCGATTCTACGAATGATTTTTTCTACAAATTTGTCTCCAAATCTATATTTCTCTTTATCAGTTGCATTACTCCCCATGTTTCATGTATTTAATAGTAGATTTTACCGATATCTAAATATTGTTCTCACCCAAACATATTAAAAATGGTTAATTAAAGAATTATTTACATTCTACAAAAAATTACTCTGTTACACATGAATTTTTTCGCCCAAATTTCCAAAATGTTTTCATTAATATCTTTGAGGTGGTAAAATTTCCAGTAATACTAAGTATACAAAGTTATAGCTTAAAGTAAAAGCTTCAGAATGATGTCAAAATCATATTTGTGGAAGCCTTAATTAAGCTGCAATTTGGATTCTACGAAAAATTTCATAAGTGAAACAGAGTAACTTGGAGACAATTCCAAAAAAAACTACCAAATATTAAAATTAAAACCATGAATTTCTCAAGCCATAGCTAAGTAATTTGAGTGCAGATGTAATCATAATTCACAGTTTAACCAATAGAAAAGGAAATGAGAATTAGATTTTTGAAAAACTATGCACAAATGAAAATAAAATGATTAAAAGATTCATGCAATTGACACGGATTATTTTCATGAAACCTTTTCGTAGAATTGCCCTTATTTAAATTTTTTTTTCGAATCACTTTACATTTAATTATATATTAAATATATCATATAAGTCTCTTTTGAGACTTTTTCACATAACTCTTTTCTCTTTTAATAATTAAATTAGGAACAGTAATTGTCAAAAACAAAATATATTTAAATAGCGTACGATTTCCTATTAAAGATTCTAAGTTTTTTTTTTCATTTTAAAAAATAGATTAATTTCACCAAAATGGATAACTTTCAGCTTGAAATCTATATGATTAACTGGAACTTTCATTTAAAAATCTTGATTAATTTAATTTAGCAGCATATATTTCGAGTATTCTATCACTAATTCTTTGATCTATCATCAATCGCGCAAGATTTATCTATAAAAATTAACGTAGAAAGGCCAGCAGTGCAGACACATCCATTTCAGCAAAATTAATCCTCAATTATCAGTGGTTCTCAAACTATGTAAGCTATAGTATGTCTTATGGCGCGAATTTGAAAGTTCACGACATATCCATGCTAAATATCAATCAGTAGCTCTGCAAATTGATTCTTTGTCAATATCTGTATATGATCCTAGTACATCTTTAATGATTATCATAGTTTATTTATGTCTAGAATCAAGTTACGAGTTCTCACCACAAAATTCAAGAACCACTGTGTTACTAAATTCGCTCTACGGATTGGCATTTAAATAATTGTGTATTTAAATTAAACAGGTAAATTCGGGACAATACTCATTTGTAAATTAGAATAATAAGCCTTAGTAAATAACATAAAAGGATTTTTTAAAGGAATTATTAGTTTTTTTTTTTTTTTGGTACTCAAATATTCAATCACCAATCCCAGATTTCATCAATTCCCATTCTTTCAATTTTTATATAACTATTAATGATTTTTTTTAAATTTTCTTTATAACACTCACTTCTTATTTATTCTTACCGCCATCATTGTAATTCGAGGACAGAACAGAAAGCTGAGATGTGAAATCTAAGTAGTATTGATAAGATGATATATAATTTTTCTTTATATTCTTTTGCTTATTTCTTGAAAGGAAGGTTGGTTTGGGGGTAGATAAAATGAGTTTTCTTTCTTTTTCATTATCACTCATCTATACATCTAATGGATTTTAATGGATCACATGAAACGCATATATGCAACAATTAGAGTAGATTAAGATCTTCCTCTCACTCTCTCTCGGTTCATAATCATCATATCTTGTTAAAATTTTACTTAATATTTTTTCTGAAGTTTGACTACGCAATATTTATGTTCGTTCGGGACATCTTGTGTGAACAATTCCCATACGTGCCTTCTTACCTTCTTCGCTCTCGGGGTCATCAGCTGCTTGTTCATCGTGGACAATAGCTGTGTGTACCAATATGCCTGGTTGATTCTCGGAAGGAGCATGTATTTCGTGTACTTCGCCTGGATTTAAATTTGCTAATGCAGCTATCAAGTCATGATTAAAGAGATGCGGTTCCGTTTCTTCAGCTTGTTGCCATCCCAATGGTGGACTTGAAGGCGGACTAATGAGAAATTGTTTCACAGGAGCTGGTGGCTGAAGATTTTTATTTGATATCGGAGTAACTGGCTGTGCAAAGTAGCAATTGATTATAGACTTGCTAATTTTATATTGATGAAGTTGTATTCGAGCGTTTGCTAAAAATATACGTATGAGGATTAGTTTTTTTTTTAAATCGATTAGTTTCTACTTCTATAGCTTGCTAGCTATTGATATTGATGTTATTCTTACCAGCAGATATTGCATTAGTGTAATTAACTCGCAATCTTCTAAAGCTTTTGAGCCAGTGAAATGTCACATCGTCTGAGAATTCTCGAAATAGTGCCTCCATTTCAGCCTTCAATTCGTCAGAGTGGAAAACTTCAGAATGGATATTTGTAACAATGATAGATGTTGGTAAGTCGTCCAATGTATCAATGTTTTCGGTATTTTCAGGCTCATCGATTTCATATGGAAATGCCGGGTGATCATTAGGTAGTCCATCCACCTCATTTACATAATATCCACTTTCATCCTCCATTGTCTGGAATTATTTTTTTTTTTAAGTATTTATTTTTCACTTTTTTTTCTTTGCAGAATTTTTTTCTTTTTGATAAAAATCAATAAAATAATTGCATCACAACAAAAGACTTGAATTTGAAAGATATTCACTGATTCTATCAAACTCTATTATCCACTTAATCCTTAAAGATACTTACAACAACCTAGATATTTATTGATTAGAAACTGTCTTTAACTTTTTCTCGACTGAAATTCTGATTAAAAATATTTCGAATTAAAATCCTCACAAATAATCGTTTGACATTCCCCTCTATAAAAATTCAAATATATTTCAACCGTTACTTTTCATCTTCTGTTTGAAACTTTTCATTTATTGAAAAACGAAGAAAATCACATCATGAAAATGTTTTCCTTCACACAAGATGATTTATGAATATCTACACGATTGACACTCACGTGCTTGAAATTCAAATCATACAAAGTATGTCTCATATCATTTGAATTTCTTCAGTTTTTAATTGAAAGTTAAAGTAAGAATTTTTATTGAATTAATTGCAGAGTTATCTGTGCTGTGCAGGTTGAAATGAGGTGAGAAATCTCAAGACAAACAAATTGATACGTACCCTGTTTTTTCGTTATAAGCTAGTAGCTTAGAAGAATAAAAAAGTGATTTTTTTGGCTCACTAGTAGCTTAGTAACGAGCAGTAGCTTAGTAAAGAAATTGAACTTCAATGAAAATTTTGAATTTTTTAACTTAATTAAAGAAATTTTGCTATCTTCTCGATTTTATTTCATTGACAATGTCATAAGGCATTGAAAGTGATACATAGAAAGTTGAAAAAGATTAATTATACTTTATTTTTGGTAGTACCTTAGTAAGGATTGCAAAAAAATTTCAAGTTCAAAAAAACTTTACTAAGTTAGTAGCTTAGTAACGAGTAGTAGCTTATAACGAAAAAACAGGGTATTGAAAAAGTTTGATTCTGCAATGAATTACATTAATGTCATCAATTAGAGTCAGCCAAGTTTGGAACACGAAAAACGCATTCAATTTGAAGCTTTTATATAAAGATTGGGAGTTTTCAGGCTATAGGAGGTAAAATGCATAGCCAGGTTTGGTGGAAATAGCCACTTACTCACTCTTTACTGAAACAGTAACTGTGTAATAATAGCTAAAGAAACGGGAAGAGAGGTTGGGGCATTAAACATCATTCACTAGCTACACCATCAACCAAGCAATTAATAAAGCATATCTAAGGTTTCACTGATTTTCAGACCCCTATTTTATCTCCCATGAAATACAATCATGAAAGTGTCATTCATAAATGTGTTATTAAACATTCCCCGCACCCCTTCTTTGTCACAATATTTTGATAAAAAGGTTTTTCAGAGATCGAAGCCGATTTTTTCGGCTTAACTCAATTTTTGATTTTTTTGATAGAAAAAAGCCATTTAACACCCATTTTAAGTATTTAAATTGAACTTTACATACTTTACTATGATTCTGTGAAATATTTTTTCAGCATGTAGCTATAGTAAGCTCTGAATTTCAATTTAGCCGATTTTAAGCCGATCGGCTTAAATTCGGCTTAACATTCTTTAACTTGAAACTCTGAGCTCACTATAGCTACATGCTGAAAAAATATTTCACAGAATCATAGTAAAGCATGTAAAGTTCAATTTAAATACTTAAAATGGGTGTTAAATGGCTTTTTTCTATCAAAAAAATCAAAAATTGAGTTAAGCCGAAAAAATCGGCTTCGATCTCTGAGGTTTTTTGAAGAAAAATGTCTCGTAGTGTTTAGAATGTAGTAACGGTTATTTTAAATATTCGTATTATGTAAGAAACTATAATTAGTTTGTTTCCCTTTGTATAGTGGTTAACCCCTTCATATGAATATTTAGACTCTTTCTGATTATGGAACAATAAAGATCATTGTGGATGTATATTGAGATCATAATGTTTCTTTGATTAGGTTTATTGATAAATTAACATTGTGTTAATTATATCCAACACATTGCGTGAGACCTCATCTCGCTTCCCAAAAGTTATACAATTTTTAAGAACAACCCTAAGTTAATCTCCCAAAAAACATAGAAAATGCAGCAAATCCAAAACAAAGTTTGATAAGCACTGGATTAGCAAGTGTTAACATCAAATTCATCATCATGCTAATGCCATTATTCAAGCGATTCCTAATCCTTAATCAAGCATGCTGATAAAAGAGACAATATAAAATAATAATGCATCGGAATGCGGCAAATAAAGCAAAAAAATAGGCAATAAAAATTGTAAAAAAAATATCATAAAAGTCACTGCAGTGGTGACTGTGGGGGGAGTAAAGTTATCCAGAAAACCAAAAGGATTTTCTTATATAAAATTTTATTATTTAAGTGTCAGAATATTCTTTAAAGAATAAAAATTATGTATATACATATGCGGAAACAAAAATCAGAGCTAAATCGTTTCTTATTTGCAAGTGTTTTTTTTTTGTTGCAACATTTTATATGGTTAAAAGTGCCATAAAATTGCGGTCTCCGTTTATGATGATATATGATGAAAACTCTACATGAAATGAAATGAAATATGTAAAGTACTTCAACGCGGATTTATTTATTTTTTGGTTGGTTGGTTGAAAAGTCTCAGTTATTAATGAGACGGTGAAGGAAAAACTTTTAACTTTTACATTTAAAAACTGCGGCAAAAAGTGAATTAAAGATTTTTTTAAACTTTTCTTGTGCTCCTCATACTCTGTCATCCATGCTACACTATTTTTAGCTTTCCTTTTATGGTGCATTAATTTTCCAAACAACCCCCATATCCCCTCCCCCCTCCATACATCTAAGTGGGACAGTTTTGCTTGTTCTATTTTAACTTGTTTTAATGTGTATGCATGCTTTTGTAACATCAGGAAGTAACAGCAGAAATAAGTAATATTGTGTGTGTCTGGGGTTAAATGACATAAAGTAATTAAATAAATTTATTATTTTCCTTCTTGTAAATTTTCATTACTTGGGGGTCTATGGAGTGAATTATGTATAATTGTGAATAAATTCAATTAAAATGTATTAATTTGTTCAAAATGTAATCCCAAAATATCTGTTATTTAAAAAATTTAATTATTTAAACCGAGGACTCCCCTCAATACCCCCAGCCGAAACATTATTTCTTTATAAATACTTAAATTAACTTTGCCGGAAAATTTTTCTTCGTATTTATCGCCCACATTGCTTTAAAAATTTGACTTAGTTCTTCTTGCTGCTACGACTGCATTGACATTATTAAAAATTCATTCTGTTTCGATGATGAGAAAAGTTAATTCAACTCATGCTTTTGACACTCATTTTCTTTTACAACAAGCAGTTGAGGCTTCTTACAAATGGTTTGATTTAAAATTAAGATTTATTTGGGATATTATTGGAAAAGGAATGCAGAAGGCAGATGAGGTTTATTTTGTTATTCAGAAATTGTAAGCATTATTTTTCAAATTAACGGTAATTTTTTAAATCCAAAACTTTACAACAGTTGAAAAAATCAAAAAATTTGTAAGGTTTTCAAAAACTATTTAAATTTAAATCCGTTAGATTCACAAAATTAAACAATATTATTTACATTTAAACAAGTTCAAAAATAAATGACACCTTTGACAACATAACAGTCGTACACGTGCCGCAAAATTTAAAAAACAGAAAGTACACCAGTTTCTATTACTTCAAATGGGGTTTTTGGCTAATCAAGTGAGTGTCACAAAACAATAATTTTGACTTAATTCGCATTTATTTCGAAAGTTGTTGACAAAAAATATTTGTGTGAATAATTAAGGAGTCTTTCATTTATGATGTACATCAAAAACTTGGATTTGAAACATTCGTCATATGTTGTATCAAGTTTAAAAAGATCTCGGTCCTTAACTAGTTGTTGAGTATTAAAAACTCTTTACGGGTCATTACCATTTATGAATGGTATCATGGATGTGGCGTCATTTATGAAAGCTCCTTAGCAGTTTATTGACTTTTAGCATCTAATATTAAGAAAGTATGAAGTCTGAGGCCAATTAACACTCCTTAAAACTTTATATTTTATTGCACAAAAAAAGAAGAAGAAATTTAAACTCCATTTTTAAAAGACGCACTTAATTGACAACCCCCAAAAATAAATTAAGATTTTTTAACGATATGTGGCACTTGAGATGTGATAAAAAATAATGTTAACAAATTTTATTATGAAGACATGAGTTATGATTGATTTGGTATTTGAGTACATTCCTTATTAGCATGCACTAGTTTAATTGAAAATTTCGCGGCACGTGTAATTGTTTGTGGCAAATGTAAATGTTATCTAAAGATAAATTCAATTGATGCTTAAAATAGTAAGTTAAGCTTTAAATATTTTACCATCAAGACTTATTACTCCATATTATTTAACAAAGGAAAGCAGGAGTCTGATTTTTAATGCATTTAAATTTTTTGTAACGGCTGTAATTCAAATTTGCTGAATAAACTGAACGGTGCTGAATTATTCAAATTTGAAAAAAATCCGTTAAAAACCTTAATTTTCGTCGACTTAAAAAATGCAAAAAATAATTAATTTATTTAAAAAAAATCCTTTCTTATTTGCAGTCAACCCACATTGAATAGTTGCTGTAGGATATTTAACATTCATTATCGATATTGCATTTTCTTTTTATTCGAAAATGTTCATCTTGAGCTTATTATTGCGAATATAATTCAACCCTCAATGGAAATTATAACTGTACATAATTTAATTAATTATGATATGTGTGTGTATATGCTTTAGTGCTACTCATGGAAATCCTTTCACAAAAGGCCTACATCTCCCTTGAGAATCGTGATAGTCCATTATTATTATTATTAGCACATGTATCTGTGTCTATATCCAAGTACAAGCAAAGTTATGTTGAGAATATGCTTAATCTATCTGGTGTGAATTATGTTACAGCACAAAAATATTCATCATTTAATGATAAGCAGAATCTAATGCATTATAATAAATTTTAAAACCTTCCACTGCATCAAAAAAATTGTGTACATTGAGCTTTTATTGCTGATGATGTTGTTGTAGCTCCCCCAAAAAAAATCTGAGTAATGCAGATATTGAAAGCACGACAGGAATTATTCTCAATTTTATGCTTCTCTCATGCTCTTCATCGTCGTCGACATGCAGTCTCATTCTCTCTGTTTTGTTCAATGTGAGCTTGAGACTTAAAAGCTTGTTTGCTTGATTTTTAATTATTACATT